CGCGCAAGCAGACGCTCCAGCACTACCGGGCCATCCTCCAGAACATCCACGAGAAGCCGAGTATAATAGCCCAGACATATAATGCGACGTCGGATTCGAAACCCATCGTCTCACTCAGGCCATTGTTTCTGTGCTTGCAATGCCCCAACATCATGACCGAGGCCGACCGCGACCTACATTTTGAGACCAAGTCGCACTGCTTCTGTAGGTACCACATTGTGCGCGGGATGCGCAAAGGCTAACGCGCAGCAGCGGTTGAATCGCGCGATGGTAATGTATACTGCGGTAACTGTCAGGACTTTATATATGACGAGGCGCTGGAGATTCTGAGGCTACAGAAGGGTGCGCATATCATCATGATACGGCTTGAAGCAACACCAGTCGGCTGACGACATTACAGGGAAGAAGCGAAAATACGAAGATACGACTACGACCGAGGACCACAAGCTCGTCATCAGCAACTCGACCTTTCTCCCCTGCCGAGCGATAGGCCTGCGCGGTCTCTACAACATGGGCCAGACATGCTTCATGAGTGTCATCCTACAGACTCTCGTCCACAATCCTTTTATACGCAACTTCTACCTCTCCGAAGGGCATAAGCAAACAGACTGTGAGAAGGAGTCGTGCGTGAGCTGCGCGCTCGACGAAATGTTTGTCGAGTTCCATTCGGCCGAGAAGACGGAGGGCTTTGGCGCTGTCAGCATGCTCATGGGAAGCTGGCTAGCCGGAGAGGCTCTTGCAGGTTATCAACAGCAAGACGCCCACGAGTACATGCAGTTTATACTCAACACCCTGCATCTTGCAAACGATGGATCAACAGACGATTCGGAGGATTGCAAATGCATTATACACCAGACGTTCTGTGGGAAGCTGTCAAGCACAGTAACATGCGACAGCTGCCGAAATGTTACCACAGCACAGGATCCCTACATGGACCTTAGTCTTGACGTACGGATCCAGAGCAAGAAGCGAAAGATGAACGTCGAAAAGGGTGAAGAAACGCCTTTGGATCTCCGCGACTGTCTCGAGCGCTTTACCGCAAAAGAGAAACTCGGTTCAGCAGAATACACATGTAGGAATTGTGACAGCCCGCAAAACGCCACCAAGCAACTTAGCATCAAGCGATTACCACCAGTGCTATCCATCCACCTCAAGGTACCGTCACCCGAATCCTTCGAACCCTCTTTGTACAATAAACTAACATACAATTCCAGCGTTTCGAGCATACCAAATCCACATCGTCCAAGATTGAAACACCCGTTCGCTTCCCAGTCAAGCTAGATATCTATCCTTACACCGCTGCCCATAAGGCCGCCCTGCGTGCGGCAAAGGCGTCCGGTATCCCCGTTACAAATTACAACATCAACAGCCCTGCCAACGCTCTCGTCTACGAGCTCAGCAGCGTCATTGTGCACAAGGGCAAGATGGACTCTGGGCACTATATCAGCTACAGCCGCGAAGGAAGCGATTGGTTCATGTTTGACGATAGCAAGGTTGTGCTTGTCAGTGAGGCAGAGGTTCTCGCTGCCGAGGCTTATTTGCTGTTCTACATGGTTGGAGGACTCGAGGTCTGAAGGAATCCGTTATCTTTTTTTTCCTGGCTGATTTCGGTTTTCTTTTTCTTCCTTTCTCGGGCCTTTTATTTGTCTCGTGTTTTCTGTATCGGGTGGGAGGGTATAGTACGCATATTCTGGGCGTTTGATGGGCCTGAACCTGGCGTATTCGGGAGAAATAGCGCCCTTGTCCTTTCCTTTTCTCCTCATATTATGGCTTGTTCAATTCATTCTTGTTCATGAAATCTTCATTGTGCTGTCGTCTATCGTTTGGATCTTACCGCATCTCCATCACCCATCAATCACACCCAACTCACAACATCTTCCCACGCTCCAACACTCTATCCGACAAACCACGACGCCGCATATCGGGCGCTCCCCCCCCCCCGTTTCAAGCAAAGCATGTAACCAAATAAAAAAAAACCGGAACCCTCCCCCACCACCTTGGGTTACTTCCACACCGCAAGCGTGCAAACGACGAATCCTTCTCGGTGTTTCTTACGGCCTTGGAACTCGATCGCATAATCAAGTCGTCGGTGCCCCCGAAGCGATAAGGATCATCTCCCTTGACTCCCAAATAATAAAAAAAACTATCCTTTAAAGGCAAATCGAAACAGCCCAAAAAAGGGAAGTAAAGTATTTCCCCAAGTAGGTAAAAGCTGAATATACCTTGTGTGTTGTAGAAAGAAAATCAATCATTTGCAAAAGTGATTTGTCGGATAGTGAGTGTGTGGTCTTTTTTTGCCTGAAAGCAGCTCTTACTTGCTACGCACGTACATCGTTTTTTTTCTGGGGGGGGGGGGCGCAAATCAACCGGCTGATCCTTTCTCACATCATATCCAACAATCGCGAAAAAAAAGGTATCATCATTTACATATTAAGAACACTGCTTATCTCACACAGACACACAAATTTAAACCCAGCAAACCCACTTCCTTCAAAAATTCGCATGTTATTCATGAACAGCCTCTTTCAGCCTCCGCGGTTAGTATTAGACCTCCCCGGGAATAACGCCGAAGCGGAAGGGGGGGGGAGGGTCGCGGGCGGCGGTTATGGGAAAGACCTGCGTCTTGGGTAAAGGCCCTTTTTCTTCTTCTCGTCTTTCCCCCTTCTTTAAATCCGTTGATAAAAACTCCACTTATGCAACTGCACCTCGGAAAGGAAGCCGAGGAAGGATTCAGATTTCATGCATTTCGGGGGGATCAAAAGGAGCCGGATTTCAGCCTTATTTTGTTCTATTTTGCTTTCGTTTTAGGCAAAGTTGAGGCAATTAGGATTCTAATACTATTCTAAAGCGGGGGTTGTCGTCCCTTATCGGTGTGCCCATCGGTGTGATATCCCGGATAGGCGTTAATTTGTAACATTAGATAGGCAAAGAGAGGCCGTTTGGGTTCGTATAAGAAGGGGAGTCAGGCCCTGCCTGATGTCCCTCTTCCACTCATCCAGCCTGCATCATTTCTCTTTTCTTTTGCAACGTTCAACATGATTATTAACTTTTAATCCCTTGCTATGAGGGAGGCGGCGTAACGTGTTTTTTCAAGCAAATGGACTCTTAACGTTTGGACTACTGCTATCGTGTCTTCCTTCCTCAAACATGGTCTCGATTTGCGTATTCACGCGAATACCTTTTACTGCCGTTCCTGCCGTCCCTGTCTCGGCAGCATTCAGGCTTTCGTTGGAGAAGAGCGAATCTTCGGAGCCGTTGGCGCGAGTGTGAGATTGCAGACCGCCGGTGCTGCTGGTTTGATGGCTGCTGTTCATCTTTGATGAATGGAGCCGGTTCTCGCTAGCCTTGCGCCGCGCAGACGAGAGCTCGTAGTGCCGACCGCCATAGCCGCTTGAGCTGCCTTTTGTGGTGTTGGTCCCGAGAAGGGTAGAGCGTAGGGCGGGAAGGCACGTCGCTATGATGGCAATGGCGGTTTCAATCATGGAGACCGTGCACGTCAACATTGTTTCGTTGCGCTTAGAGTAGTAGGCACGGATGCCTGTGATACCCGTTAGCAAAGTTTAGGTACGGCCAAGACAGACGACTTACAACTAGCGATGACAACAAGAAATCCAAGCGCAAAGATGGCGGCCACACCAAGCTTTTGCTTGAGTTTCATCTGCAGTCGGGATACCATTGTAATGGGAAGGGCGATGATGATTACGTCAGTGAAGATGTTAACTGCCGTGCATATCAGCCCTGTCACAAAAAAAGAAACTAACGCAAGAGTCATGGGGAAACAGGGGCATCTGCGTCAACTTACAAAAAATGGTAATCCAGTAGTTGATCTCTGCAGCTCGTGGATTACATTGATCTACACAGGGTCAGCCCAAGTTCACTCTACAAATAGCATACGTGTGGGGAAAGAAAAGGTGTTTGACGCACATGCTGGGTTATTAGACCATCGCTTATCGTGTGGATAGCATTGGAAGAGGATATCGAAGAAGATGATGAGATATGTGACGGCCAAACCACCCAGCGCAACATTATACACAGTGACAAGTCGCGATCCTGGCGCGGCAAGACTCTTGTAGAAGAAGACGAGGGCGAACTTGATGGCCCAGAGAGAGGTAACGTAGAGTGTTGATCCAGGGATAATCATCTGCATTATGCCTTTGAAGTTCTCTGGCGATATTGATGGGATCTGACTAAGACCTAGGTTCCACATGTGTTGTTGGATGGCGAGGTCCCCGATGAGACACAGCAACGAGAGTACAACGAGGTAGTCGTCGATGCCGAACCTGCCGACTCTCTTCCATCGCGTCCACATACGCAGAGCGACAAAAGGAACCGTGGATATCGTACAAATATACCATGACACCTACGACATCGTCAAGCGTTGGACGTGGAGATTGAAAGGGGTGAAGAGGGGGGAGAGGACTTACCACCTGGCCATGTTCTTGGGAAACCATGGCGCACTTCTCCGTTTTTTTTCGCACACCGACTTGGACCGACCTGGACCGGTGAAGGCTTATGGCTGTCAAACTTGACAGGTCCACACACACTCCTAGACCTCTTTAGCAGCGAATTGAGGCGAGTGTTCTATGAGTGCAAGGCGCGAACGAGGGTGACTGCGACGAACAGCGGGGACGTGACGCGAACAGCGCCGATCTTTAAGGATACCTCCACAGATAAACCCCTAAGATGCCTCATATGACAGAGGTGCCCTGAGAAGATCATTAAGGACGGGTTGTTGCAAAGTGCTAACTTGATTGCGCAAGTGCAAGGGCGCGGATGCCGACAATTCTTACGCGGGAAGTCGGCGTCCAGCGAGTGGCCAGATGGTTAATGCAGGCGAGGAAATCGACTAGGAGATGGCAATGGTCAAACAGACATGATGGGCTCATCCTGGTCGTTGTGGCGAGTCACCTGTTCGCTCGTGCAATTGACGATTCAGATGGCTATGGCAAAGCTACCCTATTTTTTCTCTCCTACGGCGGGTGGCCTGACAAAAACTTTATCGACAGTGCCGCATTCTCAGGGACCTAGGGCGACGGCGCGCAAAGATGCAGAGGTCGGGACGTGGTAGACCCGAGCATCCGTGGTGGTTTGTGGCGATGCCACGGCTAAGAGCCGAACATGGCGTTGTCGAGCATGGCAGTGTCGAGTAGCGAAGTGGGTGTGGAAAGCATGAGCTCGGAGTCTAGCGCTTCTAGTCCTTAGACCGGATCGATAAGGCGGGGGTCGCGATTGGTAGGATTCGCTTAGTCCGGCCAGAACGATGGAACCTGAGTCGGCCCCGTCCATGGGCCCACTCAGGACCTGCATCAACGGAGATGAAAAGACTCTTCTACGAGGGCCCCATTAAACTATTGCCTGGCAAGACTTCGGCATTTTGGCAGTGACATGGTCCTTCTTACAATTGGCGGTAAGATTCGAGTCCCTCCAACTTGGTCCCGCCAGCATGGTGCCCTAAGTATATAGCCATGTGGACGCCCGAACAAGATCTGCACCCACCACCCAAACTCTATAGTTCCCTCCTTCAGCCATCCTCCCTGTGTCCTGCATCATGAGGGTCCCGTCTTCTCTTATCGGTGGCCTACAGAGCCTCTCGCTTGTTGGCGTCCTTGGTCAGGCCGCTGTGGTAGGCGCTAACCCACTCCCGCCCAAGGCCGCAAGGGCGGTTGTCGCAGACGGTGTAGCGTCCCTCCAGGACGGAAGCGTTAAGGGCTTTACCGATTCCAATGGCAATTCCGTCTTTCTTGGAATCCCATTTGCTGCAACTACCGGAGGACAGAACCGGTACGTAATACCCTGCTGCCACGTGCGTCTGACCCGTGTGTACTGACTCTCCTCTGCAGATGGAAGGCTCCTCAAGATGCAAGGAGACTGAAGAAGGGCGAGGTGCTCAATGCCACAAAGTACGGGCCAACATGCCCGCAAGCAATTACCACCACAACGTGGTCCCAGCAAGGCGAGGATTGCCTGAACCTCAACATCTGGGTGCCATCTACACAAGCCCAGGCAAAACGTGGGCCTCCACCTCCCCCTTGTGCTTGTCATCCTCGACCTAACCCACCTCCAGGAGGACCTCAGGCACCACCACCACCGCCATCAGCAGATGGCAGTTCTGGTCTTCCTGTCTTTGTGTACATGTATGGCGGCGCCATGGTGACAGGATCCAGCAGCAACCCCCAACTCGTCGGCAGCAATTTTGCCAACAAAGGTGTTATCTTTGTTAGCTTTAACACACGTGAAAGCCTGTGGGCCTACCCTAATTCGGCCGAACTGGCGGGAGGCAATGAGTCGCAAAACTTTGGCATCCTGGATGTTGACAAGGCCTTGCAATGGGTCCGTGACAACATTGCCCAGTTTGGTGGCAACCCCGACCATGTTGTCTTCGGAGGTCACTCCTCTGGCTCTGTACAGGTCGATCATTACCTATGGAACCACCCTGATACTTGGCTTGCCGGTGCGGTTCAGATGGCGGCCAACGCAAAGTCGGGTCCGGCTGTGGCACCTACCAACCAAGCCCTTGATATCGTCGCAAAGGAAGTCAACTGCCCTGTTGGTGCGGGTCAGCTTGACTGTCTCCGCAAGGTCGACATGTACGCTTTCCAAACTGCTGGCTTCAACTCTACCTACAACACGTACTTTACTCCAGTGGTCGACGAGAAGACCCGCTACCAGGACTACGAGGCTCGCTTCGCAGCCGGCAAATATGCGTCTCATGTTCCTCTCCTGACAGGTAACTCTGACAAGGAGGGAGCTGTATTCAGTTTAGTTTATGGTGGAGAGAACACCGACTTTTCCAAGTGGATCAACACATTCGATGCCGATGTTGCCAACATCCCAGATGAGGTCCTTTTGAATGCATACAACGCTGCAGACTTCAGCAGTGTCTCGGCAATGAGCGGCGCCCAGTACGGCGACGCGCGCTTCTTCTGCCCCGTCGACTACCTCGTTGATGTGCGTAGCCAGAAGCAGGATACCTGGATCTACCGCTTCTTTGGCGACTATGCCAACATCCTTCCTCTGCCCGTCTCCCCACCCACCCACGGTGCTGAAATTCCATTCTTCTTCGGCGGCAATGATGCCTTTACTGGTGTCGAGAACGTGACCGCAGAGGAGCAGGCCCTCGCCGACTTCCAGAACGACTGGTTTGTAAACTTTATCAAGAACCCCAAGGCCGGTCCTGGATGGGCCAAGGCCTCTCCCAAGAGTGGTGCCATTGGAAAGTTGGGCGTACCAGGAAACGAGCTCGAAATCGAGGTTGGCAACACTGCTGATTTCAACGCAAGGTGCCAGAGTGTGTATAAGCCGTACTTGCCGTTGTATCCTGTTGTCCAGAGCGTATCTGGCAGCAACTAGACATGATTGATGAAGTAAATAGACTACAATATCATACGTAACTAATTATAATATTATAACAACGACGCAAGCGCATCAAACTTGGAGACCATGAAGATTGAGTCTATTGCAGTGATGGGTTGCTGAGATTAGCCCAGGAGACGTATGTGATGAAATCTTTTTGACCTAGAATGTTGTTGAATATGGATGTTCCAAAGCTTCGGACTCGGGCTGCTGACGTTAGGCTAGCAGATAATCTGCAATCGCACGGCGCACCGTTTTTTGGCAGTCCTACCAGTCGAGCGGCAACAGCAGTGGCGCGGGGGCGGCCCCGTCTATGCCGACACTACGGTAGCTTTTTGCTCAGGGTTGCAATTGCCACACCACCGGGGTGTGTCTGGAACGACATGAGAACCAATGCGATTGTGCTTGCCGCATTACTTTGGATGTCACATGTGAAACTTGCACGTGTGCACATGTACAGCCCCATAGTCGACGTGGAGATGTCAAGGAAATCAAGGGTCCAAAGGTGTAAGTAGTGTAGCGCTAGAAGGGCGGCAGATGTGGGAAAAGATGGATTGCTGATGGGGGCAGGTCGAGCGAACAGCGCGGGGACAGCCACTCGTCTTGGCGTTGAACGCTCCCTCTAAAAATGCAGACGGGGCAGACGGGGCAGACGGGGCAGACGGGGCAAGGGGGGTAACGCCTTCCATTATGCAAGGCTGATCGGCAGCTCCTTGAACGGTGAGAATTATGTAATATCGCGGTTGGATCGGTCGTATCTCACTTTGCCTGCACCTGCGCGACTTTAGATCAAAGGGGGGTGGCACATGGAAACCTTGTTGCCGCCCCCGCGCGCTAGTTCGAGGGGTGTCGAGTTTGAGCTTGTGCCTTTTGCCGCATGCCTGTGAAGACAGTTGGCAGTGTTGGTGTTGTTGTTTATTTGCAAGAGCGTTGCCTGAAAACTGAGGGTTTCACCTCGTCCTGTCCCGCGTTTCTCAGGCCGCCCGTCGGTGTAGATACTGTGTACGTATGCAATGCCTTTTTGATGGAATTGATCCCCGCGCTTTGCGGGCCTCAACCGGGGACAGTGCCTCGTACTTGACTGCTAGCTTGGTGGTTGATTGGACGGCGCTGTTGGCTTGTCGCGTCGCCTTTTGCTGCGCGCTAAGTACTGCCTACACTGTGCATATGGTCATTTCGCTACAAAGAGGAGCATGCCGAGAATGCAATAGAATCGTCAAGGCTGTATGTCAAGTCAGCGAACCAAAACCGCCGACTGACAGCTGGAGCACGACAAGGTACGCCCCGGCCCTGGCAGCGACAGTGAGTCTGAGTGCCAACATGCGGATCAACATTCGGCCCGCAATGCCGCCTAACAGGCTTGGCGCACCTGTGCCACTACCACCGCCATTTGTTTCTCGCAAGGACCTGCTAGACTTCGCCTCTTTGTTGGCTAGCACACACGCCTCCAGCCAGGCTGGGCACACAATTCCAACATGTCCTCGTCCTGCGGCTTCTGCATCACCTACCCCATCTACTGTGCTATTTAAGATTAGTAGGCTTTGCGATCGAGATGCCTCTACACATGCCGCCAAAGAGGTCTAGCCTTGCGCCCCTTTGTGGTCCATGGGAAGACCCCGTCGCCAAAGTGGTAGGTCAGTGACCCATGCGGAGCCTCATCTCAGCTCCTCGACGCCTCTGTACAATTGCTTCTTTTTTCTACGCATCCTGCAAACGCCCACATTCTTATTTCACCCGTTTTGATAGGCGATCGTCTGGATCCAGTGGATGCAAACTCGGGTCCGCCAAACGCATGGGCTGACCCACGCGGCACTCGCGTCTTCACATTGCACGCTGCACGCCTAAGCCCTCGCAACGTCTTTTCTTCTGCCGCCTGCCTGCAATCGTCCTCTGTACCTAAACACCATGCCCACAGCTCATGGCCGCCAACGTACTCACCAAAACGACCTGTCGCAACCCCGGACCGTATACGATCGACTCCAGGACCACCGTCAGCTAGTCTGGTTGCCATGTGCCGTCACCTCCCTCTTAACCACACGCCATCTCCTAGTCGAGGCAAATCTGCATTATCCTTTGCAGCTGTACATCTGCCAGATTATCGCCACTGCCCTTCTCGCTTTCGTCTCACACCTATGGCGGAAAAATGATCAAGAGTGCAGCAGCGAGCAAGACCAACCGAGACGACCAATCCAAGCCTCACTTTTGGTGGTAGCTTCACACGCCTTGCAAGCAGTAGCAGCGCTATGCATAACCCAAGCGGTATTGCACACTTCAAACCTGCCCCTGCTTTGCATGGTGGCAGTAAGTTTACTCCATCTTGCTGCAACCCGCATTATGCTAATATGGCTAGACGATTGCATTCTTCGTTGAGGGGTTGATATTGCACGTGTTCAGTTACACATCCCGCTCAGGCGTAGATGCGCTACGTTTGGGCATCCACCTCTTGGCTTGTACCGGAATTCTGTCGGTAGAGTATCGCCTCATGGTGCCAAGCTTGATAACATCAATCTTAGCCATGCTCTTGCTTGGCTTGGCGAGTGCGTTGAGGAAGTTGGCCTCGAAGCATTATCCAGGGGTTTCGCTTAGCCAAAGCACGGATGCCATTTGGTTTGTTACTATGGGGATTCTAATAACAGTATTTTGCGCACTCAGCGGTTGGCCCGACGAGCATAGAAATCCGCTTGACAGGGAGAACTTGCTGTTGCGTACGTTGAATGCCTTTTCAACTGGAGCAGCGCTATTGATAGGAGGGTCGGTGTTGTTTCCTATAGAGACAATCGGTGATGGTCGATCATCCGGCTACACCGCATCGCAACGCGTGAGCGATGTGTTCACACAGCTAACAATGACAGCCATCATTGGCTGTTTTACTACTCTTTCGCTGCGCCGTTCCTACTCCAGTTGGTATCAACTGTGCTTCTACTTCCTTGCAGTCCTGTGCATCTGTGGCCATGAAGTCTACAGGTCAAGTTGGAAGCAAGCAAGGCAATCGAAAGATCCCCATGGAAGCTACGATATGGTCCCGTGCGAGCCCAGAACTCGATCAGACGATAGCGAGGAGGCCGGAGAAGCAGATACGCTAGCGAGCCGTCCAGATTACAGCCACGGCTTCCGCTCGTCTTTCAGCAGCATCATATTAGTCATGATATGGACTGCGTATGTAAGCTTTAACTTTGGACAACGCCAATACCCACGCATCGAGCCTCGATTGGATCTCAAGTACGAGGCAAATAGCCCTTTGGAGGTTGTTATCAGCATGTACAAGGAGCGGACAGAAGACGTGGCCTCGCTTATATCGAAGCTACATAGCATGCCGCAAATGTCGCAAGCTCTTGTTACAATTTATCTCAAGGATGGCCAGGCAGACGAAGAGAAGGTCAAGCAGGAAACAAAGGCGCACAACGTCGTCAAGCTTCCAAACGTGGGAAGAGAAGCCGAGACGTACCTCAACCATATCGTCAACCGCTGGGACAAGCTTGCAGAGCGTACTATCTTCCTTCAAGCCGACATTCACAACCCACGAGAGTTTTATCCCTTTTTCCAACGGTATTTCCGCGCAAACCAAACTGGTTTCCTCAACCTGGGATGGGCAGGCAATGTTTGTCATAGTGACGACTGTGGCGATAAACAGGGCTGGCAGGATGAGACATCGCTGTTTCCAGAGATTCAATCAAGGATCGACCACTCGGTGCGCGATGGTGTGCTGCTCAGCTACAAGGGCCAGTTCGTTGCTACCGCTGCGCGAATTCGCGGCATTGACAAAGCAATATACGACGATCTCTGGAAGCTTCTTGTCGACGAGAAGAGCTGGGCGCACAGTGAGCCCTATCTGCAGGACCGAGAAGATGCCATGAGCAAGCCTTGGTTCGGATATACAATGGAGCGGATATGGAATGTCCTGTTCCAATGCTCAGACATGGACGTTGCATGGAAATGCCCTACGCTGCTGAGCGGTTGGAGACCTGGTGGCAGCATTGCCGACTGCCAATGTTTCGATACCGAGCTGGTCGAATCATGAAATGTGCTATGAGGCCTTTGTTCGTCTCTTTGTTTTTTCCTTTGTTATGATGCCCCCCTTAGATCATGAACGGCGCAAGCATGTCGCTTTTGTCTCCCGCCCTGGAGCCGCCGCTATTTAGTTAATTTTAGACGGCCGTCGACAAGATCAAATACAGACTATTTTTAATGGATGCGAAAAGAAAAAGAGCAACTACCGGTTTAGTCGCCCACGCACATGCCAGAAGGGAGCCTTTTACTTTTGGCTTTGGGACGGGCAACATGTGGGCATTCCGCGTGCGTGGAACGACAAGCCGATATGGTTTTCCGGACGTGTTTGAGAATGTGAAACCTGGAGGATTGACGGACGCAGGAGGTTCTGAAGCGCCAAGGTGAAACGTGTCACAGCAGCACAGCAGCAGCGCAGCAGCAGAGAGTCGGCTAGATCTACGACACGTGACACACTAATCCTTTTCGCGAGGCGGCACGGGCTCTGTGACGGATCCTTGCGGCAGGCACGCAGTCAGCAGAGGCACCATCCATGACTGACTCGCCCCTATCGCACGGCAATGGCGTCGCAGATAATCCCCTTTTCATCGAAACACGCTGCCGTGAACCCTTGGTGTCAGCACGAAGGAACTTTGCGGTGCCACTTTAATCCAATTTGCATGTTGAGTCCGTTGTTGTGGGTTACGACGACCAGCCTGTTCCATCATTTTAACTAGCTGCGACTGACCGGCCTCGACAACAACTAACCTATATAGCGCTTACTCGGGCACTAGACGTCCACCGTTTCCTTCTCTCTAAATTCAACCCTGCATATACTTACTCACACACGCACACGACACATGGCCACGCTACACCAACGAATGAGCAACAAGCTCTCCATGGTCTCCAACCGGAGCTCGGATGGCCTCTACAAGCACCGTCAAAGTCTTCTCTTCCGCGAACTCGAAATCCTTCTTGAACTCACCCCCAGCACATTCAGTTCTCCACTACTGGCGCTTCCAAGGGAAATCCGGGACCAAGTATTCAGCTATGTCTTGCCCGACACTTCGAAGAACCGGCCAGAGCTACACACTTGCCTCTGGAGTGCGGAAATGTCCAGCGGAGAGCCTTGGAGACACGACATCTTCGGATACGGACCCTCGGTGCCCAACGCTTTGCGCCTTCACCCGGGGCTCCTTTTGATTAACAAGCAAATCCGTGAGGAACTGCTGCAAAACTATTTCCGGCGCAGTAAAATCACACTCCACGCAGAGCTGCGCAACACGCGGACCAACAATGAATATTTCGAGTTCTCGCAGCACATCCTTAGACTACCCATGCTAAAGCACACAACGCACGTTCGCTTCTATCTCGAGTGGAACTACACGACGCTGAGAAACGGCACCCGAGACCGGATGCTCAAGGACCAAATGCGCATGACGTACAATCTACTGGCTTCCATAGACAAGATTCTCCAACCCCTACCAAACATTGAGACAATCGAGCTGTCGGTTCTCTTCTTCTGGAAATACCGCAGCGGCAAAATGTACAGTCTCTCCATGCAGGATCTCTTTGACCTTGAAGGCGTCTTCAAGCGCTGTGCTGAGCTGCGGTGGCTGGGCCTACTCGGTGAAAATGATCTCCCTGGCAAAGTCAAACATACAACCTCTACTTATCTCAGTCCTTCATCCGCGATACCACAAACATCATCAGCTGGTGTGGGATACAAGATGTCGACAGAGCGCAAAGGCACAGAGCAGAGCGGCGGCATGGAAATCTGCATCAGTCGCGATCTCAGTGATGCCATGGAGGAGCGGCGAAAGAGCACTGTAGATTTCTTTGGCAACTACGAGATTGGTGAGCCGTTGCCTCTACCGTCGTACCGACATGGTGCCATGATATGATTGGGAAAGAGCCAGCTACGACCATTTCTCCTTTTCTCTCACACCATTTTTTCTTTTTTCTTCGTCTTCTTTTTTTAACTGGCAAAAGTTCGGTTCAGCGAAAAAAATCAGGCGCATTTTCAGCAGATGAGACGCTTACAATATTATAATGCATAATTTGGCGTGTATAGGGGCATAGGATATATGCGTTACAGGATTTTAGTGTACAAACTTTGTTTTTGACTGGTAGTCGGTCCTGGGAAATGTAAAGAATGGCTAGGCGCCTACAAAGAATCACTGTCCAATGCGTATTGTCATACCTCATGCAGTGCTCCAATTTCACCTTGCAGATAGTAGGCACTGGAACGAAAGCCAGGCCCTATGGCAAACAACACACTATTCGCATAAGCAGGTTAACAGGCCGTTGGATCCTCTCCCCTTCTTTCCGACGATTGAACATCTATTCCGTGCCCAACCACACAACTTACCGATTACTACATCGATCGCAAAGATCGCTGGGGAGATTGCCGGGAGCAACGTCGCTTGTACTACGTACGTACCGGTCCGATCCGCTTCATAAAGCTTGGCAACGAAAACGTCCGTGAGTTGAGCAATGCGGGTTAGCGATCATTTTATATATATAGCTTTTTGATTTGGGAAAGCTATAAGACATATGGTAGCTCTTCCATCGAATAGCCATATAATAGTGCGATTTCTACCATTAGTTCACGTATGAAATATGTCAGTGAAATCATGGGTTTACGGAAGCGACGAGGACTGTAAGCACTGTCTGCAATGACATACTTCGTTCGACAAAGGCCTTCGCGCCCCTGAAGCCCCTATCACATTAATCTAGTACGAGGAGATATTGCAGTGACCTACCCCGCTCACACAGCACTCAAAAGGCACGGCGGTAAGACTTGACAAGACATTAAAGACGAGAGCCATCTACATAAGAATTTACCACTCATATACACCCCACTCTCCGTATCCGCTGTCAATAACCTCCCCGCATCCGCATCCCTCTCCCCATCAACAATCCCAACCAACGGCGCCGCACCCCGACTCGTCGGTTTCGCCCCATCATACACATTGATGCGCCTCGTCATTTCACTCTGCGTGATACCAGGACAAAACGCAAATACCCTCCACCCTCTACCTAGATACTCTGCATGCTGAGCTGCAGTCGCCATGTTAAGCGCCGCTTTACTCAAGCGGTAGGCGTACGATTTGAAGGCGTAGATGGGACTCGATTTATTGAGGCGTGTGGAGATGGAACCGAGGGCTGAGGATATGTTGATGATGCGTGGGGTGCTCCTGTATATGGGAGAGAGTAAAATAGATTAGTAAAATGTAATGAATGGGATGAGAAAGCGGCTTTTTTTGGTGGGAAACTGGGGAAAACACACGCGAAAACGAGAGAGAGAAGCGGTTCGAAAACTTTTACGATGGCGAAAGGACCAGCGGCGTTTGTAGTAAAGGCGTCGACGAGGGACTGGATATCTGTGGTGTCTGGATCGCCAGATGAGAAGATTCCAGCGTTGTTAACGAGGACGTCTAGGTGGCCATGGGTTTCCTTGACGTGCTTGGCGGCGGCGACAATGGAGTCTTGTTTCGAGACGTCGATTTGGAGGAATTCAACGGTTCCTGGCAGATTTTGGGATTGGAGGTCTTGAACGGCTTTTGAGCCTTTGGAGGCGCTGCGGCTACCGAGGAGAACGTGTTTGGATGCGTGGGAGAGGAGTTGTTTAGTCAGTTCGAAGCCGATGCCGGTGTTTGCTGGGGGGCTTGTTAGATTTGTGTGACGGTGGGAAGCGTGTTTGGCTTACCGCCAGTGATGAGGACAATGGTCTTGTCAGTAGAAGCCATGTTCGGCGTTGGATGATGTGGTATGCTGAAGTCAGGTGTCGTAGAGTAGATCGGATTGAATCGTTTTGCATTGTGTATTTAATTTATACATGGTGTGGAGACATAACCGGGCCTCTATCTGGGACTTAAGAAACATCATTTCTCGGTCGATCGGTGAAACCGGAAAACCCAGAGATGCCTTTACTACGAAATATCAGCACCACCACAGTATTATTCTGGACAAAAGTCTGAAAAGATACATAAAGTGACTCCGGTTTAACAATAACAGAGGGTACATCTAGATTACCAATGATGTTGTAGCAACAATCAATACTTTGAGCAGGCTTTGGACTTTCGGTGCTGGGCGATCTTATCTCCGATTTCATCGGTCGACCGAAGATGACAAGGGAACGACAGGCCGACTCAGTGCTAGTGTTAGTAAGTAATAAGCTAGCTAAAATAGTTCCGGAACACTGGATAATTAGGATACCGGACATCCGGGACACCGAAGCCATCACAGAAGTGCTTTACCTACTACTAAAGTACCACCAAAACCTTGACCAACCTATCCCTCCTGCTGTCTCTATACTTATTACCGTCATTACGGTAGCAAACAAGTTCCCTTGCTATAAAACATAGTGGTACTAGCAGTTATGTAGACTGTAGGTATGTAGGTCAGGTTGAATATATACGAAGGACTTAGAGCTGAGAAACTGACATGGATAACCTATCTCAGCTGGGGCTTGATCTTTTCGTAACGTCTACACTACGTTGTCCTTTAGGCTCCTCTTTTCTATGTATTAAGAAGTAAGTTCATTTTCATTGTACGAAGGGATGAGAAAAAAAGGGGCTTTCCGATACATTCGGACATACAGGCTGGTTGAACCTAACTTAATATCATTTTCATTATCCCTGTTTTGATCACCTGTTTGTCCTAGTTTGGTATTGTACCGTATCAATAGTTTGTAAAAGGCGCTGGGGCATATTGCAAAGTTGAACAAGTATGACCTCGGCTGATTTGACCAGCTGCTGCCATGACTGCCAACTATTATCGCTGCTAGCTCGAGTAAGGCATAAAATCTCGGCATAAGACTGAGACATGAGATTGGAAAATATTGGAGCCAACAAGATTGCATTCATACTTGCAGAAGACACGGCATAGACAGATAGTAATATGCAGCTAAAGCCGCGAATAAGATCCGCCATCCTTGAAAGCTCTGCGAACTATACACCGAAGCCAGCCAGGCACACTTCCTGCACCTCTTAGTCTAGATTCAACACGAAAAGGCTGATACCAATAGCTCATGGCCAAAGCAGCAACTTCTATTGGACGCAGGAATCTTACAGGCAGGAGCTTGGCCATATCAACCCAAAACACCACATGCCAAGTTGCCAATCTTTCTCCATATTGTTGTGCTTAGATTTGACTCGCTCACCGGTATGTCCGTGAGTAGTTGTTGTAAAGACGTACCCATCATGTTGACATAAATACCAAGGGACGCGGCCAAATGATAATACAGTTCGTGCGGTAATTATCATTTTGAATACTTTATTTGGACTACTTATCAGCTCGAGAATACAAGACGTCATCTTGTTTAATGACAGAATATACAAAAAAATCATGTATCAAGCTTTCCTCCACACCCCAGTTCCTTCCATGTCATTCTTGGGCTACCAAACACGCAGCTAGAGAAATATGGCCTGTTGCACCAAAAAGCGGTATGCACGCCAACATGCATATTTCGAATCGCATACGGCGAGCACCTATGCTTGCAATTAATACCATATATATCCCCACCACCGTGTACGCTGGAGACCTCCCGGTAGGGCGGATCCACCGGCGAACTAACAAAAGGTGGACAAGGTATATACCTAAAAGCATGTCAGCAATCCTCGCCAAGAGAGCGGAGATGAGGGTCTGGACAGAAATGTACCTTGCGCAGTAAGGATTAGATATTGGCAAGAAAGAACGGGCCGAACCCCAACAGTCTCATGTTTCGAGGGTGCAAACAATGATAGCTGTGGTGGACAGGTATAAATGCACGACATTGGATATTTCGGGGAATGGTATTAGCAATGTTTTTGTGGGAGCATACTTCAAAATGCGCTTTCAATCTTCTCTTCTCTTCTTCGGTGGTGCCGCTGCGGCATCGATCCAACAACTTGGATCACGCCACAATTCCGGTTCTGATCAGGCTTCTGGTGTCGTCTGCCCTGTCCTCTTCGAGGGCCGCATTCCAGTCGACGCAACGCTCCAATGGTTCGACACCAACTCGTCCGTGTATGATCCTAATTGGACAAAAGGCCAGAACATTAGCTGGTCGTCCATTCTTCTCTTTCCAAACACTACCTTAGCGCCATTCGACGAACCCAATCGCCACAAGCCTTTCGAAGTGACTATCGATGACCGTTCCATCTTCAAAGGACGCAGGTCTTCACCGGAGACTTATATTCGTCGCGCGGGCCTCATAATGCCAGGCGATAAGAATGATGACCGGGCTGATGCGGCTGACAATGGTACCGTCACTTACCACTGGAGTGTTCACCAGAACATGGAGAAACCACTCAACTTCTCTCACGAGTACATGAATGTGTGGCATGAGAGGGCTGACTTCACTGGCAATCAATTCACGTTTGTTGGAGGTTTGGTGTTACCGTTCAATGGAGGAAACGACATTGATACCAAAGAAGAGAGAGAAAAGTGGAGGATCCAAAACAGCGACAAGAAATTCATCTTCGAAACCCCGATCTTGTTCGATCAGTGGCAGAACTTTGCTGTGCAGGTAGACCACACGAAAGGGTATGTATACTCGCCTTTCCTTGACGTATTCCCCCTTGATAAGATTAAGATGCTGACTATGTTCGATTAGTACTCTCAAGGTATTTTATTCAGCCGGCGCAGCACCTCTACAGCCCGTGACTGAGGCCACTCCAAACAATAACACAGGCCTGGGGCAACTCCAAGTTGGAATCCTGAAGAAGCCAACAGACACGACGAACATTGACCTCAACGGGTATCAGGGGCCTATTCCATTCCAGGGCGAAGGTCAGATCTACGGAGGTGTTTTTGTGGAAACAAGCACAGATGGATGTGTTAGCACGTATAGCTATAGCGATTAGTTAGCTACAGCCACTCGATATATATATAGCAACAATATCCGTTTTGTAGATGAGATTGTGCATGGTGAGATGTAAAGGAAGCAGTAAGAAAGCCATATCACAAGTATGGGGAAGAATTCCCTACATACCGAGGGATGTGGGGCCGGGAAACAACCACGTTCCTTGTCAACAACTGATAATCAGCGCGGGACGCAGATGACGCGGCAGGTGCCATGCCAAGACGGTACGGTTAGTGGTGTCAGGGTCGGCAGATGGGGGTGGTGGTCTTCACGGGCGGAGTTAATATCAGAATATGGCAGGACAAGTATGGCCAAGGCAAAGAGGAGATGAAGCGAAGGTGCGAGGATGTTATAATTGGTCTGTTAGTAAGCTACATTCTCAACGTTGGTCCCTACTTTTCTCTGCTCAGTAAAATGCATGATTTTTAATAGCATTAGCCTTTTATTACTTTCCAATTCCATGTCTTGCAGGTTACATGCCTTTGACCAATAAGCGTCGTGATCGAGTATATAGCCCGCCTAGTAAGGAAGCAAGTGACGAAACAAGAAATGCTGGATCAAGTAAATTTATGAGCAAAGAATTTAGATATGTACTATAATCATATCAGAATGACAAAGCACACGACATCTTGCAGGGACATATAGCATATTCTCATATTCGCTCAGTTCAACAAGACACTGCAGTGCACATGAAATGCATCATCGCATTCGGAGAAAAGTCCAGGATGCCACAAATGTTAAATTTAATATTCTCCATAAATGCAACTCAAACGGCATGCCTTCTTCTCCCCCCGCCCCTCCGCCAATTCCATAGTGCCTCCTGCGCAAATGTACGAGCAGTAAGATGTCCCCTTTCCTTATTCGCCTCCTCTGTCAATGTCTCAATCACTCTTCCCTCTTCGATACATTGCCACAATCCGCCCGCTATAGCACTTCCCACATCCTCCTCAACCCACTCCCCATCATCATCGTCATCTTCTTCCACATCCGGATTCTTGGCCACTCGGACAGGTCCATCCGTCTTCTGTGCGCTCTCAACTCCAAACTGGCCTTTTCCGAGGCGGTATAGAATCCTCCCTAGTGTTTGGTAGGCAATGCAGCGCTGGCTGGGGACTTTACTCCTTGCTGTGACTGCTAGCTCTGGTATTGTGTATCCTGCTGCTTCGGGGGCTTCGGCGTGGTGGTGCAGCCCTCTATCGGTCGGAATTTCTCTTGCCACGCTGGGCGCGAGCAGGTTTCCCTCGAAGTCGAAGCGGAGTTCGGCAGGATTGAGCGCGGTTTGAGAAGGATGGTATGGCGATTTTTTGTCGGAGGGATCGATGGGGGACATCCAAGATAGCTTGGAGGGATCGTAGGCGAGGTTGGGAAAGTACTTCTCGTGCAAGTTTTTGAGGAAGGCGGGGTCGTTGGGATCGAGATCGGGGGGTTGTGGGGGTCGGGGGAAGTGTATCGAGTCGTCTGTTTGCTGCTCTAGGGCGGATCTTATGGCGGAGGAGGAGGTTTCGGTAGTGGATGCAGAGGGGGAAGTTGTGGATTCTGGCAACTTGGACTCGTCCATAGGTTCTGAAGCTGCAAAGGAAACTTTCTTCGTACTCGTGGGTTTGGCCTGTGTTTCTTCTTCGGCCTTTTCAGTTGTGGGAGGTTTTGTAGCCGCAGGCGCTGGTGGCTCAGCATCAAAGTCGCGCTCATTGCTTCCCTGGTCGATATTGGACCGCAACAGCAGCTTTTGTAGTAGTGCAGGATTGAGACTTGCCATAAGCTCTTGCCGCTCTTGCTCAATCTCGGCGTCCGACATGGCCGCGATGGTTCGCCTGTTTTCCTCATCGATGGCTCTTCGTTCCTCGTCTGGGTCTGGGGCAAAGGCGCTTCGTGGGTTAGGCGGGGGTGCTGCGGCAGCCTGTTTTTCCTTTGCAGCGCGCTGCTGCTTAAAAGCAGATACTCTCGGTGTTCGTTTCTTGTGTGCCGGGAAACCGTTCACGTTAGGCTTGGGTGAGGGCGCGACTGGAGGGTTAGCTGAAGATGAATCGCGCTCTTGAATGTCGCCCACAAAAGCGGGGAATGAGGGCATAGGAAGCACATTTTGTTCCTCTGGCTCCAGTTTCTCGACTGCGCCAGTATCAAAGTTGAGGTTGACACGTTCGCCTCTTTGGAACTCCATGGCGGTTGGCAGGGTGGTGTCGTGGTGCAGTACTGCATGCAAAAGTTGCCTAGGCTAGTGAGGTGCGGGATGGACCCTTGCATGTGGGGCGGCTCGTCATACTTAGCAGCCGGCGCGACGTCACGCTTCACGCCTACTGTGTACTGCTGTGTTTCTTCAACCCCACTATGCTCCAACCGCCCCGTGCATCTGTCCAGCGAATGTATATGGAGTAAGCATGCATTCTAACTATCAATACATTCATATCTCCATCAAGCTCGTGAATTCCGTCTGGAGAACGTAATGGGAAGTACATCCCTTGAACAAAAAAGAAAGTGATACACGTCCGTGCTAGTAGTGCCACAACACTAAGGTGACGCAACTCGAAAGCTCCCAACTTTGCAGCTGTGCATCTCAGCCAAAACACGATATTTTTCAATAATCCCTTGTAAGAATGACCTCTCCACCTTCACAGAAGCGATCCTCGAATTCTCATCTTGATACTCCAACGCGTGCTCGATTTTTCCAGGCTATTGATCAACGTGGAGATAAGACTAAGCGTGACATCTACCGCGAGTTCAACATTCCACATACCACCGCATACCGCCTCCTTCAGCAGCGCAGTAAATATGGAAAACTCGCTGATCGCCGCTCAAAACTCCGAGAATACAAAAAAGAGCATGGAGGCATTGGCTCTGGCCGGCCGCGAAAGGATGCCAACAATAAGACTCCACAGCGAATGCACAATGCTCCACAGACTATTCCAACCAGAAAGGTAGAACAACAAACGGCCCTACCCCGCATACCCCACGTATCCCACCAGCAATCTCTACCCCTGGATAGCTCCTCGACTCTTCTCCCAAATCTCTCTCAACCCTCCATCACCAATTCCACCCAATCCTCCCATTGCCTCCCACCAAACCCATCAACAATGTCCTCCTCCAACCCAAACTTCCCCCCAGCCCCCTATGAATCCGGCACACACATCGCACCCCCTCCGCGTCCCCCATCCCCCGCAACTGCGGGCTACAGCTTAAACCACTTCATGATGCGCATCAAAGACCCACAAAAGACCCTACGATTCTACTGCGACTGCCTCGGCATGCACGTCGTCTTCATATTTAACGCCGGACCATGGGTTATATACTATCTCGGGGGACGAGACGTGAGTACGTTTAACCCCCCCTTCTCCCCCTCCTCTCTTCTCTCTCTCCCTCCCATTCCCTCCTTCTACTCCAACTTGGTGAATTGGAAAGGTGACAAAAACGACAAACAGACATGCAAAACATCCGCCAAAAACAAGGTCTCCTAGAACTCTACCACATCCCCGCTGACATATCGACCCCCTACGTCTCCGGCAACGACTACTCCGCCCCGGGAGTCGGCTTCGGACATATAGGCTTTACAGTGCCCAATGTGGATGAGGCGACGAAGCGCGTGCAGGAGTTTGGGTTTGAAGTTATTAAGCCGTTGGATCAGGCAAGGGAGGACCAGATGGCGGTTCCTGACGAGGTGGTGCAGGGAAAGTGGGGGGAGGTGGTGGAGGGATACAAGAATGTGTTTAGGCAGTTGACGTTTGTGAAGGATCCGGATGTGAGTGTACCTTTTTTTTTGGTCTTTTGCAAAAACATGAGGCGGTGTGGAGGGGAATGTGCGGGTGTAAGCTGACGCTGATGCAGGGTTATTGGGTTGAACTTATTCCGCCAAAGTTTAAAGCGTTGGGCGAAGAGTAGACAAGCATCGGGTTTGGCCAAGGCGGAAAAGGATTTGTTTATTTGTGTGCAACTCTGCAGGTGAGTTGAGTTGCTATACAAACGTTACTCTGTATACTACACTAATACGAGTTAAAAAGAAGATATGACATGTGCATCAACATAGATCAGCGACGAAACCTGAAGAGTACAGGAGTCTTGGCAAACAAGAGGAAAACTTGAGCGGCTTCAGATTCCCATCATCACGTACGAGACCAGCATATCTAGCATCGTCTACCACTCTATTCATGGCCTCTACATGCCGTGCCCAGTGTCGAAACAAGTCGTAACATGATTATGCATTACCTCTTCCTCAAAAGTGCGATTAGCACCATCCATGTCTGCAAAGTCCGTCCATCCAACCTCCCAATCCTACATATAGCGAACCCAGTTTCGCTTCAACAAAACCCACACATCCCCACTCCTCAGCTTCCTTGAGGGCCCCAACATGTGACCTTACTTTCTGGAACAGTGATGCTAAGCCCGTGCCTGTTTTCTTTCCGGCAACAACGCATTCCTATTTATGTGAGTCGTGTGGGTATACAACACACATGGTTTCGTGATATGTCAGTGGGAGATTGATGGGGACGAGCTGCCATGCCAGTGTCATGCAAGCGGAGAATAAAGGGGTATGGCGCTCGAAAAGAGCTCACACCTTCTCTACACCTTCAATGACTGGCGCGTTTGCCACCTCTACAGGCTCCAAGTCTGGCAACTCATCATCCGCCTCATCGGCCACATCCTTCATCTCAATGTCTTTTCTCTCTACATTGGGCTGCTCAGGCTGCCGACACACAGCCTCGGTGTATTGTTCTGCCAGGTCTGCCCGGACATATACCACACCTGTGCTGACCTTTGGCCTCTTGCCTTCTTCCTTCTCCAGGACCGCACTCTCATCTTCAACCTTTTCCACTCGGTCATCGTTGTAGCTTCGCCATTCCTTGTTCTGGAAGTCGTAAATGTAGATCCAATAATGTCCGCCCTTGACATCGCCACGATGCACAAACACAGCGTGTAGTCGGTATGGGACTGAGGTGCAGTCACGAAAGACGTTGTTGATCTCCGATTCCAGCGTCGTCATCTGCTCATCAATACCCGAAAGTTCCAGTGCGTAATCAGAGGCGCGTTTATGGAGAGTGTCCGAGAGCTCCGGAGGAGGTATTAGCAAGCTACCTGGCTGGTCTTGGTCTTCGGAATTGTCTGAAGACAAGCTCTGGATGAAATCACTAGTAGCGTTAAGGCACTCCGGTAGGTTCATGCCCTCGATCCCACTAGTTTGCAGTTTTGTTCGCTTTGCATCCAGCTCTCGTAGCTGCTTCTGCTTTGCCCATTGCGCTTTACGGAGTTCCAACAGCTGTGACTCGTCCAGCGTTGGTGTTCTTGCCAAGTAACGGTCAAGATACATGGTCTTCTCAAGACCAATATGTGAGTGGTCGTACACCGGTTGGCCCTTTTCGTACTGCAGCCGCTTTACGTTGATGATCTGGATAGGCGCAGCCTGTTCAACGTAATCATACCTCGTACCACCACCGCCTTCGATTTCGCCCAGACCGAAATCCTCGTCGAGAGTAGCATAGAGCGAGCGGTCGCGGCGACCAGTAGCAACAAGGAAATGGTCTCGGAGCTCTTGGTTCTTCTGAATTCCATCTGGCTTCTCCATGACGGTCGTAACGTCACCAAAGAAGAGTTTCTTGATAGCATCTCCTTGCTCGCCTTCTCGCAATACGCTATCACCGGTGATTGCACAAGATATCAAATCAAAGATGTTCGCCATGACCTCTGCTGCGTCCTGCTGTCGAGCACTCTCCTCAATTCGGCCGATTTTCGTGCTTGACTGAACAGCAGGTTTTGGGGCGGGTTTGGGATCTGCTCGTGGTGGTACTGGAGGTGGCCGTGTTGGTGGTGCAGGAACATCATTCCCACTCTCTTTTGTAGAGCCATTCTCATGGCTGGGGGCGTCCTCCTTCATCTCCGAGTCCAGGAGATTGATTGTCGGTGTGTCAGTGTTATCCATAACAGTGTCCGTGGAATCGGTCTCTTTCTTGTCGGTGATGGATCCGGCAGGTAAATCGACGGGAATCAGCTGGCCCTCAGCAGGTGGCAGCATAGGGCCGCTGACCACCGCTCCATCAATGGTACCGAGACCTATGCCTGGAACGATATCTGAATCTTGTATCTCTGCTTCCTCAGAAATGTCTGACTTGCATAGTGCGAGTGAAGCTAGGTCGATTTCAGGTTGTACAGTGTCTGTGGGTGCCTTGATCATCCGTTCAAAGAAGGCCCGCAACTCACGAACGACTAGACAAGGTTAGTATGGGTTCTCGTGGATTCGAAATATACTGACATTTCTGCGCAGTCAACACTCTCTCCGGGGTGACTGCCATGCGTCCAACTTTCTTATCCTTCAGAGCCTCCGGAGACGGATCTTGCAGGTGATCCTCACAGTTGAGGATTAGGTCTCGTAAGGGTTTGATGGTGAACAGGAATTGGAGTACGCTGTTCAGATAGCACGTGTTGCCAATGTTGCGGAGACCGACGGGCCATGATTCGAGAGGATAGTTGTTGCGCCGCACTATGGGCATGGGAGCGTTGGCAGGGCGGTTGCCGAATCTCTGAGTCTGGTCTTGCTGGATGAGCGCATGCGCTTTCTCCATTCTTGCTCTCTCACTTGTGCCAAGCTCGTAGGTGCTGAGCAGGGAATCTAGCACAGCTGGATCGAGCGCAACGCTTCGATCAGAAACTTGGAAGTGAGCGTAAGCATCGCCCAGGTCCATTTCGGGTTCGGACATGGTGCCGAACTTGAGGAAGTGTTGTAGTCTTTCGCTTTGCCGGTGGTCCGCTATAATCTGTAGTGCTTTCTGTGCGGTTTCTACTTCTGCTGGATTGTCTTGAGTCTAGTGCGCATCAGCGTTTGTTCCAAGGCGATCATAATTGTGCACGGACCTTTAGTGAATACATGGTCTGGACAAAGTCATCCGCTGTGGAAGGGTCAAGCTCAAACCATGCCATGGCTTGGTCATAAGTTTCAATAGACCCTGCCGCTTCTGCCCTTATCCTCTCACTATCACGCACGTCTCCGAGAACCCGCAACTGCTTTCGTGCTTCCTCGGCTTGCATAGGGCTGATATCAGATAATCGGGATTTGAATGAACCAATAATGTGCTCGTCACCGATGACGCTCGCATGCGCCGGATTGATGCCAAAGTACTGATATGCGCGCTGGGCGTCCCGCTTGCTAATGAGTCCCTGAGAGGCCAGCAGGGCAACCTGAACCCCAAGCGTCTCACTTTGGCGGCCCGCAGCGAGATCCTGTAAGCATTCAAAATAATAGTCTTTGTTGTCAATGTCTACAGCAACTTGACGAGAGAAAGCAAAAAGAATGAGGGAGTCGTCAAAGTCAGCCAAAGCGCCCAGGCTAGCATAATAGCTATTTAATGTCAGCAAATGAGAATACTTGATTTACATCAAGGCAGGATACGCACGGGTGATCCTCTTCATGGCTTGTGCTGCGGGTTTCGCGGCCCTTTGCCTTCGCATCTACAGAATCCATCAGTACCAATATACAATAAGATGCGTAGAGTCAAACATACAATCTGCACAAGCCAGCACTCTCTCGAGCTCGTCCCGCGAGGACAAGGGGTGCATGGGCTGGTGTCTGCAGTTTGCACGTTCATTTTCTGGCACGCTTAGTATTATGGTGTTGAGCTCGTAGCGAGCGTCTTCAATCTTGGTCCGCAGGGTGTATTCGAGAGGATGGGCAGTGTTCTCCGGTCTGGGGAGGTACCAGGCTTCTATCAAGGTGCCCTCCTCGTCTTCTTCTTGCCGATTCTCGAAACCCAAACGCCTCAGGATAGAGTCGCAATCGCGGCCAAAGGTCTTGAGAAACTTTTTGTTGAACAGGGGAATGCGCGCCTTGCCCTTTGAAGGGTTGAGCGAGTCTTGCAGATATGTGTTGAGGTAGTCGGGGGCATCGACTCTGCGGGCCATGACTGGGTCGGCTCGATCACCCGCCAAGTGCTGCGCAACCTCCCATCTCTTCCTCAGTTTAGCCTGGTTGGTCAGAATCTCAATGTCATGCTCAGAGAAGATTGGTGGTCTCATGCCGATGCGGACGTGGAGTGAGCACTGAGGAGCTGAGCAGCGGAAGGAGTAGGTGCGAGAGGGCAGTTGAGCTTCGAGGCCGTTGATGCCGTTGGAGCCCTCCTGGCCCTGGTAGAGAAAGTGGTGCAAAGCATAGTCGGTGTTCCCTCTGCCGCACCACTTGCTCTTGCCATCATTATTGCGGTGGTCGGCGACGACATCAACATGCCAACGGCACTTTTGGCAGTAGGCGGCAACCTTGTAGACGGTGTCGGTGTCTGGCTCGCGCCCGGGCTCGACGGGGATGGACTGCTTGTCCTTTGTGAAGAAGTTGTGCCTACAGTTCCTAAAGGGCACGGCGGCGACGGCTGGGGCATTTGCATCGTGCTGCGGCGGGGGGCTGGTCAACAGGTTGCGGCCGGCGCGCTCTTCATGGCGGGGGTCGTATGTGAAGAGGTCCTGGAGGAGCCGTGGCGCTGTCTTGCCTGTACCGCTCGAGTTAGCATGTGTGGGCGGGCAAAGGGCAAAGACGGGGTACCGGGCGCCATGGCTGCTACAGACCGGGCGAGACAGGCGGAGAGATTATGTATGGGTGGTGATGGAAGTAGATCAAGTGCACGAGACGAAGCAGGCCAAGTCGAGCAAGCAAGCAAAAAGAGGCGTGGATAAATGGTTCATCAGGTAAGCATTGTAGGTGGCGGTTGCCCAGCAGAAACACACAAGGGCACGATGGGCCTACTGGGAGTTCCGGGAATGGTAGACACGAGCAGCACAGGCAGCCATTGCCTGTCATGCCCTCACGATGCTGCGACACTGCCAACCGACCTGGCGCGCACGATGATGCAGTGCCCGCTGCCGGGGAGTCCTGGCGCCCGGTGCCAAGACGCTTAGGTCCGCCCGCCGCCTGCAACACCAGAGACATTGACATCGCCATAGTGAGAGCTTCGACGACGACGACACCGACGCCCCATTCTGCCCGCCATGGCCGCCCACGACGCCTCCTTCCACCCCCGCGATGCCCTCGCAAACACCATGAGCACCATGATCCAGACAACCGCCGTCGGCGCCGTTGTGGCCGGAGTCCAGAACACTCTTCGCAAGCAGAATGTCGGCGCCATGGGTATCCTCACCCGCTCGGGTGGCATCATTGCCCTGTACGGTCCGTAGCCGCTCAATTGCCCTTTCGCCTGCTCAGCGCAGCTAATTGACCTGCAGCCGGTGTCGGAGCTACCTACCAATTCACCCTCGACGCGACTAGCAACCTGCGACGCAAGGACGACTGCTACAGCGAGGCCATTGCTGGTTTCGCCGCTGGATGTGCTCTGGGTGTTGGCAGTACGCACAGCCAGTCCATATGACTGCTATCACGCTAACTCGTCCCAGGGCGAAGTCTTCCCTTTATGCTCGGTGCCGGAGCCGTAACCTCGACCGCCCTCACCGCGTTCCGATACACCAACGGCCTCCGAGGCGTCGGGGACATCAGAGAGCAGGTCGACGACGATGGCGAGGTTGAGCGCAGGGAGGAGCTGAAGAAGCTGCGCAGGCGGCCACTGTCCGAGACGCTGGAGCAGCTGGGCGAGGGACGAGGTATGATGCACGCCAGCCAACATCTACGCATCATAAAACTAACTCTACCAGGAATCTACGGCCCCGGCTACGAGGAGCGGAGGCGGCAGCGATTGCTAGAAAAGTACGGCATTGATGTCAAGGCAGCCCAGCAGTAGGCTTAGAAGCACCCTCGTCTTTTTCTTTTGAGTTTACAGGTTCAAAATACCCGATTGCCAAGATTCGGGCTGCGTCTGGTTTGTGTACATACTACGTTAGCAATTGAGGCATTGTCGAACTATCCGACTTCTAAATTTTGTATTAGCATGTATGTCTGCGTTGCTCCACTAACCATGCCCGCCTTGTCCTACGTCGGATAATGCGCGAAATGCTATTGGATGGAACGCGGGGTAGCTCCCATCCCACGCGTTCCCTCCTGTCACTTGCAATGCATGTACTGCAAGCTAGTATTCAAGCCACTGCTTGGAATCTAATATGTTCTATTTCCAAGTGATATCTTGCATATCAAATTCGTCCTAACTTTGATATGTTCTACATCATGTTCTTTCCCAACGCGATCCGTGTACTGCCCCACCATCTCATCCATTGACACCCTCACACTATCTCTATCACTAACACTCGCTGCCTAATTAATTTAATCTGGTTTTCACCCTGCCACCTTCTTCCTAAAGACACCGTTCCTTCATACAAACATCATCGGCACCAACCCTCCCACAATGTCCGAAACCAACCTCAAAGAAACCTTTTACCGCAAATTTCAAGATGATGTCGCATGTAGGACTGACGCTGCCATACACTCTTTGCAACACCCCTAACATCCCAACGCAGCACTTGAGGCCCAAATTTCTTCCCTTCCGGACACACCAACTGCAAGTCATGAGCGCAACGAAGCCATAGAGCAGTGTCTGGCGGGCATAGACCGCCTATCGCACGATGTCATGGACGCGTCTAGTTATCTGCCTGCGTATGACCAGCGAACATATAGCGAGGTATGAAAGTCTCAATTTGTGAAAAGAAACAAAAGCAGAATAGAAAACAAGATGGGAAAACACTGTACAAAGAAGCTGACACGCCGACGCATACAAAATAGACCATCAAGTCCCTCTCCGAAAAGCTCCAAACCATAAGAAACGCCTTTGACCCCCCCAAGAAATTCAGCTTCAAAAACAAAAGGAAAGAAGCAAAAGTATCATCTAGCATCTCAGCACCCGCAAAAGAACCAGCTAGTACTTTGACCCCACCACCACCATCACAACAGCAAGACGACACCCCATCCGACCTCACCCACAAATCCTCAACCCGCATAACTCTCGCTTCAACCCCCTCGCCCAAAACTTCGCCCACAGTATCCCACCTGGCCAACTGCATCGTCAACCTCACCACGAGCAAAACACTCTTCGCAACCCTCTACCTCCGCAACATCAAAAACAGCCTCATACTCTGCGGCCACGTCGCAGGCCCCATCCACATTACGCACGTGACAAATAGCGTACTCGTCATGTCGTGCCGCCAGTTCCGCATGCACGATAGTAAAAATGTGGATATCTATTTGCACAGTGCGAGTCGTCCGATTTTCGAGGATTGCGAGGGACTGAGGTTTGCGCCGTTGCCGAGGTGTTATGTAAGTTTTCACCTTGTGAAAAGAATCACAAAAGGAGAGAGTTTTTTTTGGTAGTTTGATTCAGAAACTGACCAGTAGATAGGTTACGCCTCAGATATCGGAATCGCCGAATCTGTGGGACCAGATTGATGACTTCAAGTGGCTCAAGGCTGAGCCGAGTCCTCATTTTAGCATCATCCCAGAGGATAAACGTATCTCCGATCACGTATGGACCAACATAGTGCCGGAGGAAAAGGGTGTCTCCTTGCAAGATGTCCTAACTGCTGTCAACATCCAGCCATGACGTTCATCATCGTAGCAAGACAACAAATCTCACTCTTTCTCGAGACCCACAATCGCAATCACAAAGCATCACATACAGTCTGCAATAGCCTTAGTAATTGTATTGTAGATGACGTGCTACTCTGATGGCAGCTACTTTAACTGCTAAAATATCTGCAAAAACTTCTGTCAAGCTAACGAACAATCCCGAGAAAGATTATGCCTCTGTCCCGTTACCCCTAAGAGCACCTCCTCACTATGTGTATAGAGCCGGGCTGCTCTAGAATACGCGTCTTAGGTGATGCAAGAATATCCCATCAGGCCGACCCCCATCACAAAAACATACCTTCCTCATCATGTGTGAGACTATGTGAACACGTCACTTGGTCGGCCTATGCCCAGCTGGCAATGCAGAGAATCATGATAACGAGTGCGCCACACCATCTCCTAGCTCCAATGCGATGTCCGGTGTTGAATGGAACCTCCATGTAACTGGGCGAAGGGCCAATAATCGATCGGTTTGCGCTGGCGTAGGGGTATGGATAACTAGTTGGAGAGTAAGCAAGTGTGAACATGATGCAGAGTGGCTCTGAAGGACTTACTCAGATCCAGAGGGGCCAGCGGAGATTCCCGAAGGAACATATGTAGGCACAGTCTGAGCGCTGGTCTCGGTGTGGTTGTTGAGACCACTAGAAGAAGCCGATGCAGTAATATAGGATGTGGACAGATGCACATGATAGCTAGTAATCGCATTCGTGCTCTCGAGTACGGTGGAGCTGGGGTATGTCGGTGACCAAGGGCTGAGAGAGCCAGATGGTATCGTATACCCGCTCGAGGATGGCCACGTCGGTGAAGGAACTGTGGGAGAAATTGGCACAACGGTGCTGCCTGTTGAAAAAACGTACTCTCCCGAAGATGAACGTACAAAGTTAGCCCCAGGGTATGATGCTGTAGAAGAAGCAGATAGTGTGTTGGTATTGCTGCTCGATGGTGTGGCTGTATAAGACAGAACATAGCCTGGCGTTGAAGTGGTATCAAAGACATAGGTAGGGACCGGGACGAAATCAGTCGTCGAGGTACCTGCTAAGCTACTGGGAGTGTTGGGACCAGGGTATGAGTGAGAGACCGCCGTCGAACTATGAGTAGCAACCGAGCTAGAGTCTGCGTACGATGGGACTACCGAGACGGTAGGAGGCGAGACGGACGCACTTGAATAGCCAGCAGAGCTCGAACCTACCGAAGATACCGGGTATGAGGAACCAACGGTGTCTGTGATTGAGATCAACGAAGTTGCACTAGAGATGCTTATCACTGGAGCGCTTGTGGCCGTGTATGAGATTGATACACTCGGCTTGGGGGTGGGACCGTGGCTGACTGATACAGACGGCTGAGAAAGTGGGATGGACGGTAGCACGTAAACACTTGAAGAAGTGACCTCTGTAGTCAAGACGCTGGTCTGAGGAGAGACGCTGAAACTCGGATACATAGAGATGTAAGAACCAGGTATGATGCTAACCGAGATTCTTGACTCCGTGGGATAGACTGAGCTGGTAGCTGGCAGAGTTGTAGTAGCAGAAACCGGAGGCATGTATCCAGAAGGCGTCGAAGAGAGAAGGCAGACCGTGGTCGTGTCAGTGACGTGAATGACAGAGGTCTGGACCTCGGTGGTATAAGGAGGGCATCTCGCAACATCGGTGCAGATCTCGGAGACCATGTGCGTGGACGTGACCATGACAACCGTGGAGTGGGTGTCGTTCAGGGCACGCTGACTATCTGTCGGCATGTCAGATATGTTGCATTATGAATCAGAAGTGTGATGATCCGAAAGGAGGAAGTGAAGGTCTGATGAAGTGGCTGCTTGCAAGACAGTGTTGCTGAAGTGTACTTACGAGGAGCTACAAGAAACTGGACTGCAAGTGCAGCACCTCCAAAGAGAGTGATGAGCTGGACCAACTTCATGACGACGAAGAGAGTAGCTGGGGGGCGACAGGGGTTGAGAAGGTGGAGTTGGTGGGCAAAGATAGCAAAAGACCAAAAGACCTGAGCCGATTGCTGGGGGCGGATGGATGGGCGGTGACGAGTGTAGGAGGTCGGTGCAGAAAGAAGAGAAAATGAGTGCTGAGGTCAATATTTATGGGCGAAGAAATGACGCCAAGATACAGGTAACTGAAGCAAGTGCGTTGTGTTGAGTTGGGTGTAAGGAAAGTGCGCTGCCGTCAACAAGCGTACTGCCCTACGTTGAAAGAGTAGGTAGGTTCGGGTGCGTACCTGGATTTGGAGCTTCGATGGGAAGCATCTTTGTATGCACATCCTTGGTAGCATGATGAAGTCACCAGAATGATGAGAGAAAGTACAGCATGTCACGTGACATATCTTTGATCGCGAGTGAAATGATTGTCTATTCGAATCTCCAGACGATGTGAACCATGTAGGCAATTTTTCTCCCGTCAAAATTAGAGCTGAAATGGAAGGTCCTTGATTCATTGACTGATCCTAACCCTACGCGACTACTAAAATGCGGAGCCTTTGCTTGGGGGCAGAGATGAACGATAGATGTGGCCATTCTCTTCGGTGGGCTATAACCCAAAGGGATGATATCAGATTCCGTGCAGCCCTCTGCTTCTTACTGAGAAGCTCTACACATCTGCTATTGGTTCCCCCGAAGCAGACACTTGGACAATCCCTGGCGGAGTTCGAAAACTGAGGAAATTCGTATTTCAAGACCGGGTCTCACTGCCTTTGAAGATAACCAGCAGTGCCATGCGTCTTATGTATTCCAATGTGCAAGACTAAATATTCGTTTCGCACAACGCGTAGACACATTCGCTTCGATAGTGCGTAGTTCGATAGTTACCAATGCTTTACAGGAGCGCGATGCTTAGTCGCGTCGTGTGCAAAGCTATGTCTATTATGAGCGGATGCATAGTGAGCTTAGAATCGTGTTGTCTGACCTGTATGGAACTTTCCATAAAGCCTTCTGACTACATGAAACTTCCGAGAAGAGACTCCATGCCAACCTTATTCTTATCTCGAATCTTCCGCTTTTTGCCATAGGTCTCTCTTCGATCTCGGTGCTCTTCATCTTGTGCACGCTTGGTCTTTGTATCAGATACGTCTTGCAACTCTCGGTGGAACCATTCAGTGTGGCATCTGGGAACGGCCTCTCGGGCCTGGAGATACAACATAGAAATGGATCGGCCGGCAGACATTGTGGCTGCTTCCGATTGGGCAATTTCCAGTGAGAATTGGTAAAGCTGGCGCATCTTGGATGCTGTGGTAGTTGTGTTGGTTTCCCAAATAGTTTCCGGTGATAGTTTGCTAGACTTTGTGCTGTTTCAATTCACGTTAATAACAATGTCATCAATATTTGGTGCACTTGATTACCATTTCGGAAGATGGTTGGTCCAATCTCCCCAACAGTCAACTCCGGATTGGATGAACAAACCATCGACTCCAAAGAGGTTCAAGGCGGGAAACGAAGAGATGCTCTTGAGAACAGAGTTGATATGCGATATGTCATATCCACTCAACACAAGTGCCCTTAGCTTCGTAAATGAGCCACTTTCACCAACGCTACGGCCCCAGTCCCGTATCATGTCGACGGTTGGCTTTTGCGTGGTATTGTGCCAAGAGTTCGTCCCATTTTCGAGCACAAGTACCGCCAGATTTTGGATCTTGGTGAGTGCAATAAGATGATCAATCGAAAGATTGAGAGTGCGTACGCAAAGAAAGGTAAGCATGCTAACATCGAGTTTAGATAGACGATCAACCACAGAAAGGTACTGCATTGATGCGAGATCCCGGTCCTGGACTCGGAACGTCACATGGTGATCGACTTCTTCCGGGTATGCTTTTCTGAACACGTTCCATGCATGGAAGGTAAGCGTATCTCTGTCTGTAGGTCAATCATTGTACGATTGAGGCTGTTCATGAGATCCGTGACGCACGTTGATTTGAGGTGGATATAAAGCCGACTTGCGTACCACCATCCAAGCCATTGTAGAGCGCCGGGATCCATGTTGTGGATATTCCAGATGCATGCACGGAGTGCCATGGAATGCAGACTATCACAACGTGGATGTTGAAACTTGGCAGGATCGACTCGCTTACCCCGAGAATCGGTTGTCCATTTGGGCACCATTGAACGGACGGATGCCATTGTTTCTTGATAGACCAGGCCGGAAGATGTAAAGGAACGCGCCATCTTGGTGGTTGGCCGTTGCCACCCAACTGTTTCAAAGTAAGCCAAAGAGCTATTGGGGCGATTAAAAAATACTGCTGAGCCAGGCGCAGATCAATATCCCGAAGCTTCCAGTGTCAGCGGCACATAGAAGAAGAGAATGGGCGCGCTGATATTTGAAATAATTATGTGTCGCGTTCGCAAAGCATATGTCGCGATATTCCCCAACGCGTCAACCGACGGCCCCACATAGGATGGTCGGTTCTACCCCTCACATTCACCGCTAGACCGGATACATTTTCCTGGCAGTAGAATACAGCCACTTAGGCGATGGCGCAATACATATGACTCAGCAAGATAGACATCATCTATTTCCGATTTTTGGAAGCAAAGCTTCTTACCGGCAGTGGGGAAGACCTAAGTAACCAATAACCGTTCCGACCGCCGCCGATCGCACTAGATTGAATGAATTCAGAGTTCCCCCAACATCCGTCTTACAACACAATTCTCCTTCTCCAAAAGGCCTAGATTTTTGTTACTGGCCAAAATGACAAATCAAGGTCAATCTCGACTCAAGGTCTCGCACTTGATTGCCGAAGGCATGCCAATCATATTGGATGGTGCGCTCGCAACCTATCTGGAAACATTGGGGGCAAACATTTCCGGGGCGTTATGGTCCGCTGAAATTCTAATTGCCAACCCCTCACTCATCAAGAAGACCCATCTAGACTACTACCGTGCAGGCGCGAACGTGGCAATTACTGCATCGTATCAAGCTTCCCTTGACGGTCTAGTCAAACATCTAGGATTGAGCAAGCAGGATGCCAAGAATGTGGTCAAAAAGAGCGTGGAACTTGCTCAGGAAGCCAGAAGCCAATACATCACCGAGGTTAATGCAGAGGTTGGAGATAAATTATTTGTCGCGGGAAGCGTAGGGCCATATGGTGCGTTCCTGGCCGACGGTTCTGAGTATCGAGGGGACTACGTCGTGCCAAAGGAAACGATGAAGGACTTCCACCGTGGACGCATCCAAGCGCTTGTCGAAGCCGGTGTGGATATTCTGGCATGCGAGACAATCCCATCAAAGGCCGAGACAGAAGCGCTCATCGACCTCCTTACCTCTGAGTTTCCTTCTTCAGAAGCCTGGTTCAGTTTCACACTTCGAGATGGTAGCCATATCAGCGACGGAACACCCTTGTCGGAGATTGCTGCTCTTTTCAAAGGTGTGGAGCAAGTTGTTTCTTTGGGATTCAACTGCGTCCCTGACGATGTCGCACTCGTTGCTCTCCAGGAATTGAAACCGCATGTGAAGGAGGGGACAATGGTGGTATATCCAAATTCTGGCGAGCAGTGGAACGCAAAAGCGAGAGAATGGGAGGGGAAGCGAACAGAAGGCTCGACGCTGGCAAAGAAAACAGAAGAGTGGAGGGACGCTGGCGCGGGGTTGATTGGAGGATGTTGTCGTACCACGCCGGATGACATCGCGGTCATGAAGCAAGCTTTGACATCCTGAGAAACATTTGGGAATGCGCGAAAGGTACCGTCAGATCGGAGGTTACCAGAATTGTACATTATGTGACCAAAACGCCCCATTCAATGTAAAGGGATTCAAGTCTGCTACGTGCTACCTTAAAGAAACGACTGCGGATTCAAGGTGTGGTATGACATTGGATATGGAGCTGGGCAGTCAGCCCCTGAGTCTAGACCGGACTTGGTGACATGAATGAGGCCGCTTTTCTTCCACGCATTATCCACGTTCGGAGGTCATACGTTTGTCCAGTTTTGCCACATTCCTTCGTGGGTTGCAACAATTACAAACGTTTGTGGCTCGACGTTCGTGGCATTAAGCCTGTACGGATCCTGGTCGCGAGACGTGTACTGATTATGAGTTTCTCTGAGAATACGTCTCTCAGACACAGTCTTGATATTCTCACTCGTCAATAACCATGTCGTCGGCACTGGTCGCTCCTTCAGTCCGCTTTTGCAACTCTTGTAATATTGCCCTAGCCCGGTCCAGTACATCCTCAGCATCAACCTGACCAGAGCTTGCCCTTGCGTTCAGCACGCCTACGTCAAAGTCGCCATATCCACCGCTCTTGACATCCTTCTCTGGATCTACAACCTCACTTTCCTCTTCCTTCCCTTTGCGCGCTTGGCTCTGAGTGACGGCAAACTTGGGGTGACTTTTCGGTATGACCTTGTACCTCTCGAGAGCATTGATCTGCTTCACCAACTCTTGCCTGATAATTTCACATGATGTACCACAGAAAAGGGCATTGATGCGGAAGGCTTCCTTGCGCGCTTCTAGGGTTCCAGGTTCGCATTGCATAGCGTCATGCTGAAAAGGAATCGGGTCGTTGGTCAGCTGGGACAGGGCGGTTGCGAAGTATTTGAGCAGTTTGGGAATTTGATGGTTGATTTCATTGAGGGTATCGATATGTTCAGCGGCGATCTGACGATAAGTCTTTGGTTCCTCTGATGTCTTTTCAGTAGAAGTAGCATTATCGGCTTGAGCAGACATGGCGGGCTATCTGCAAGCTTGACGCCAGATGGGGCTGTGTGTGGTTGTAATGTCAAAGAGTAGTTGGAGCCGGGGAAGCTCAAGCCCCACATTCGCACCGCCACATCTTGGCAGCCTAGGAAGCGAACCTCACCTCCGTCCTGCACTCCGCAACACGGCCCGCCCAGGTGACGTCCTGGTATGCTCCAGACGCGATCTGCCCGCCGAGAATCAATCTTTACGCGTCAATACAATCGAAACAGCCCAGCGACTAAGAAGCGACAATCAAGCCCCGCATACGACTATTGACGACCATTGCGACTGCAACTGGAGCACAACGGAGCGAAGGAAGAGCTGCGCGCCAGCATAGAAGAGAAGGAATCACGCAGCCATGTCAGGGCCCCCCCAAGGGCCCGGGCCTGTAAGGGCTATGAGTGTAGGAAATGGGCCTCCAAGTGCAGGTCTGCCACCGCATGCAGCCATGCCGCCACAGGGTGGCCCTCCACCGCCAGGCTCGTCAGGACCGCAGTCACAGCAGAATCTCAATCAAATCGTAGGTGACGCCTCCCCTTACTCTCTGCCCCTCTTCTTCTTGCCTTCGGTACACTGTCGCATGGATGTGCGGCCATGATGGATGAACACATTGCGTTTGTTGTGGGGTTGCGCCGTCGCCTTTGCTCATTGACACTATACACTCATCTATGCTGTGCCTTTACCTCATAGGCTTGGTCTTGGGCTTAGCGCGACCTTGGGGTAAGGTAAACTTATTATAATTCAGTTTGCCCAAATCAGCAGGCTTTCACTTCGCGCATTTCGTCGCACATCATGAGCGGCGCATCAGAGTCGTCAACTAGCATTGGCCTTGCGTATAGTCAAAACCGCACAATTCCTACTAATTCCCTCGATAAAGCGAGTGCCTTCTTTGCATGTTCAAGTCGTGATTGCTGACGTCTACCAAAGGTATTGGAATATCTCTCAAAGAAGGGCTATGTCCGCACCGAAGCGATGCTCCGCAAGGAGTCTGAACCACAAACCAACGGCCAGCCTCTTACCGCTCAGAGTACCGAAGCCGGTGGCGCAAAATACACAAAGGCATTCGAGCTTCTGCGCAAATATACAGAGGACAACCTGGATCTGTATAGACCCGAGCTGCGGAAGCTGTTATGGCCCGTTTTTGTCTATTCCTTCTTAGACTTGGTGCGCGACTTTTATACCAAAGACGCAGAGACATTCTTTGCTGCGTACCAGGGCTTGTTTGAGCGCGACCACGACGAGGATGTCAAGACGCTCCGTCAAGTGCGGTTACAGTCTCATTTGCAGGAGAGCAGAATAGCAAAACTTTACCTCGACAACAAGTACCGAATAACGTTGACGACAATGCCGTTCTTCAACCTCATCCAATTCCTCGAATCTAAGCACTTTGACGGCGGGTCGACAATAATAGATGTCATTCGTGAACATCTTAATATTGTCACAGTTGACAGGACGGCGACCGCAGAGAAGAGCATAGCGGCGATTCTTGCTAGCGGACATGGCGACGATGAACTCCCTGCAGAGGACGAGGGCATCCCAGGACACGCCCCCGGTCACCCTCTCACAGCGCGCCATGACCCAGAGGCGGATGCTGCGCGAATAAGACTGCAACTGGGCGCGTACCCCCAGGAGGCGGAACTACAGGACGATGTCCGTGCTGCTCTGCAAGAGGAAGATGCCAAAGCTGCGCCAAGGCCAGGCCAACCAAGTTTGCTGGATGAGTTTGAGCAACGTATCAAGCGGGAGCCGACAGAGGATGGACCCTCGCGCGAGTTCGTCCCTTTACCCCCGTCACTCGCCCGTGATGTCTCTATGGAGGTCCAAAAGATTATTGAGCACCGAGATCGATACAAGATGGAGGGAAGAACCGGCGGAGTCGGACCTGCTGTCAGCGTTACCATGTACACCTTCCATAACACATACGACAGGTAGGTTGTTTAGTTTGGAGGCTATGAGATGCACTACTAACAGCATAGTAGCATTAACTGCATAGATTTTTCTGGGGACAACAAACTCGTCGCTGCCGGCATGAGCGAGTCGTACATCCGCGTCTGGTCCATGGACGGTAGTCCTCTCACTTCACCAAATGATAGTCCAGACATGCAGCCGTCATCTTCTAGGCGATTGATCGGCCACTCAGGTCCTGTCTACGCGGTTGCCTTCTCCCCCTCTACCGCCAACCCGTATCCTTCTGGCCCTCCTACAAACTCTGAATGCCTCCTCTCATGCTCAGAAGATAAGACAGTCCGCCTGTGGTCTTTGGATACGTACACTTGCCTTGTTGCGTACCGTGGGCACGATAACCCCATCTGGGATCTTCAATGGGGACCTTATGGCCACTACTTCCTCACAGGTTCAAACGACCGCACCGCGCGTCTGTGGTCGACCGACCATATTGAACCTCTTCGCATCTACGTTGGTCATGACAACGACGTCGACTGCGTCGCTTTCCACCCTAATAATCTCTATGTCTTCACAGGCTCGTGTGACCGCACCGTCCGCATGTGGCACATCGCCGGCGGTAACTGTCTGCGTCTTTTTACCGGCCACACCGGCAACGTCACAGCTATATCCTGCTCCCCAGACGGAAAGACGCTCGCATCCGCAGACGACGCCGGCAACATCATCCTATGGACCCTCGAAACAGGCCGCAGGCGCAAGCGCATGCGTGGCCATGGCAAAGGCGGTATCTGGTCTCTCTCCTGGAGTGTGGAGTCAAGCGTCCTTGTCTCTGCGGGCGCCGATAAGACAGTTCGTGTCTGGGACGTACTACAGGAAACTAGCGACAAGGCTGCCGACGGTGTCGCTGCTAAGACAGATGGCGCGATGACGACGAAGGGCGCCAGCGGCACGACAGTTACAGGGAAGAAGGCGGCTAAGGAGACGGGTGTGTCGGCGGATCAAATCAGCGTGTTTCCTACAAAGGATAGCCCTGTGTACAAGGTCCAGTTTACTAGGATGAACTTGGTGCTTGCGGGTGGTGCATATCTGCCTACGCGTTCGTAAGGACATGAGTCTAATGGGTGTTCTTGGGGTGTTTGGAGTAAAATTATGCTGGATGAGTAGTGGTGACATACCCATATGAAGTAATAAAACTTTGATTCAATCTTGAGGTGTATGCTAGTGATCACAATTGTGATGTGTGCGTTGCGTTTGTTGATGTCTACGGAACATTGACTACCAATTCTACCATTCATGCTCTTTCCTCTTCTACCACTTTTCTATGTTTGAACTTCTTCTATATCATACATTTGGCTGGAATAGCCTCCTCCAAGCAAATTGATTGAGTTTATGGAGAACAAATCGCCTGGTGCATAGGGACGTCTAAATTAAAGTTGTCTTCTTCCACCTAAGGCTACGACAAGAGTGTCAATCACCGATACACTAAACGCGTAGGTGCATTATGCAAGAGCTTAGATGTTGTTTCTTGCTGATTTCAGCTAACGGAAGGGCCTCTTGGGAACCACTCGTTGTTCATGAGGGGCATTCTATATCTAGCCAACACGTTAGTACTGGCTCTACCAGGCACATTGCCTATGTTCATATCCACATACCACGAGTTCTGGGTAAGTGCTAGATCAAGCGCATCCATATAATCGACAGATATCGGTCCTAGGATGGATCAATCGTGGTTCCGGCGGCATCTCACCCAGTCATACTCTGGTCCCCATCTCGATCCTCTGAAGCAGTCGATTGACCGAGCTCCCTCAGCGAAGCCTTGAGCTGAGCGATCCGTTCCTCAAGATCTTCAATTTCTTCTTCCTGGTCCTGCAACGAGCGATCGATATCTGGCAACGACAAGACGGCGCGTCTCGCCTTTTGTATCTTCAGCCGGACATCGTTTGCAGCCGTAGCGACATGCTGTATTTCCAGAGGCCCGTCTGGCGAAAGCTGCGCGGGTGTGGGAGTAGCGGCTGGTGGCTGAGCTGATGTCTCGAGGATGCGCTTGAGCAGCCTATGGAGGTCGGGCAGGACGTCAAAGGCAGAGGGCGCAGGGGGTGCCGGTGTGGTTGCGGAAGCCGGGGGTGGATGGGCCGGCGTCGCTGCGCCTGTGGGCGGGACTGAGGCTCGCGCCGATGCAGGGGCGTAGGGCGTCGCTGCTGCCGACATGTCTACGGATTTCCAAGAGTATTATCCGGATGGACGTGTCTACTAGCGTGGTGTTGACCGGACACAGGTGATGGCTTGACCGAGGCCGCTGATTGGATAGAGTTTACTTGCTCCAACTATCGCAGTGGCTTTCTCTGACAACACGTGTTTTCTGGCGATCGCAGTATTCACCGGATCTGCGCGAATCGTGTCGCGCACTGGAGGGAGGTCGAGACGGGATTCCGGCCGCGGGTTGTGGGGGGCTATTGCATTGGTTGCTGCGAGAGGGAGATGGGGTGACGTTGGTCGCCTATGCTTTTTCCAAACTCCAAGGCCGACTTAGCCCCACCAACCCTGCCCCTCCGCCGATAACTAAATTCAACGCCTTTTCCTTCGCGCCATTCAATCCCCCTTATCCAACTTTGTTTTTGGTTCCCCGTCCTCCTTTATACCAAGTTTCCTGGTTAGTTCGCAATCATGGCCAAGGTCGACCAAAAGGCCGTCCTCATCGTCATTGACGGCTGGGGTGTTGCGACTGAGAAGTCGCGCAAAGATGGCGATGCCATTCTTGCAGCAGACACCCCTACAATGGACGAGTTTGCGCGACAAGGCTCAAAAACCGCACAGGGATACACCGAGTTGGAAGCCTCGTCCCTCGCAGTCGGTCTTCCCGAGGGCCTGATGGGCAACAGCGAAGTCGGCCACTTGAACATCGGCGCGGGACGCGTTGTATGGCAGGACTCTGTCAGGATTGGCCAGACCATCAAGAACGACAAGCTCAAGGACGTCGGAAACATCAAGAAGTCGTTCCAGCGCGCCATTGACGGAAACGGAAGGCTGCACTTCTGCGGTCTCGTTTCGGACGGAGGCGTACACTCCCACATGGACCACCTCATTGCTCTCCTCAAGGTTGCAAAGCAGCAGGGCGTCCCCAAGGCATACATCCACTTTTTCGGAGATGGCCGAGACACTGACCCCAAGTCGGCTGTGGGGTACATGGAGACTCTACTCAAGGCGACCAAGGAGATTGGTCTCGGCGAGATCGCAACAGTGGTCGGTCGTTACTACATCATGGACCGTGACAAGCGCTGGGACCGTGTCGAACTGGGAATGAAGGGTCTTGTTACCGGAGAGGGCGAAGAAAGCAGCGATCCAGTGGCTACTATCAAGGAGCGCTACGAAAAGGGCGAAAACGACGAGTTCTTGAAGCCCATCATTGTGGGAGGGAAGGAGCGGAGAATACAAGGTAAGTGACTAGATGGAGTACCTACATGTCCTCTTGCTGATTTGTCCGTCTAGATGACGACACGGTCTTCTTCTTCAACTACCGTTCGGATCGTGTGCGTGAGATCACCCAACTGCTGGGCGATGTCGACCGCTCGCCGAAGCCCGATTTCCCATACCCCAAGAACGTCCACCTCACCACCATGACATCATACAACCCTAAATACACATTTAACGTTGCCTTTGAGCCTCAGCGTATGACAGATGTTCTTGCCGAGACACTGGGCAAGCAAGGCGTGAAGCAGTGCCACGTTGCAGAGACGGAGAAGTATGCTCACGTCACCTTTTTCTTCAACGGCGGCGTCGAAAAGCAATTCGAAAACGAGGAGCGCGAGATGGTGCCATCGCCCAAGGTGGCTACGTACGATCTGGAGCCCAAGATGAGCGCAATGGCGGTTGCCGACAAGCTCTGCGAGCGTATCCGAACTGGCAAGTTTGAGTTCCTCATGAACAACTTCGCCCCACCAGACATGGTTGGCCACACTGGAGTATACAAGGCAGCCATTGAGGCGTGCACGGAGACGGACAAGGCCATTAAGAAGGTGTACGACCAGTGCAAGGAGAGTGGATACGTCTTGTTTGTTACTGCCGACCACGGGTAAGTTGGAGCATTCTGTTTAGCATGAAGAAGAAAGAAGCTGACCGATTAACAGTAACGCCGAGGAGATGCTTACTGAAGAGGGCACACCCAAGACTTCGCACACAACCAACAAAGTGCCGTTTGTCATGGCCAACGCACCTGAGGGCTGGAGTCTGAAGAAGACTGATGGTGTATTGGGTGATGTAGCGCCTACGGTTCTTGCAGTCATGGGTCTCCAGCAGCCGGAGGACATGGACTGCAACAGCTTGCTCGTCAAGTCGTAAGGCATTGAGGATGTGTACATTCTCTGCCCAACAATATTCGCATTTTGTTTAGCTGTCAGACGCACCTGACGCTACGACTGTTCATGGTAGAAAGTAGAGAACACTAGATAAACATAAATACATAGAAATCTGGTTGTCGCAACGCCGCGGCTTGCATGCATGTAATGTATATAATGTGTAAAACGTCTATGGTACACTATTCTCGCTACAAGGGTCAGCAGTGCGGCTGGTGTGTAGGCCTGGCTGCCAATCAAGATGTGGGTTGTCTTGGCAGTGACCGGGGTTGAATCGTGGTGGGGGACTCGGTGTGGACCCCTCCCTACAAGCTCCCAGCAAGGCCCCGTCGCCCATTACGACAAGCTTGTTTTTCAGCTGCTGGTCTGCTTCATTCATATTCGACTATATACCCTCGATAGGAGACACCGTCATTGCAGTAAATACCATCGAATCTCACTGCAAGAAAAAAGGCCCCCCGCCGCGCGCATCACAGGGCTATCTGCATTAAATAGCAAGCCCATCGGGCACGCCGACGCTTCACCTACCAAACCTTCGTTACAACAGTCGATACTCAGCCCAAGACCTCAACACCTAACCGCCCCCTCGCACCGTTCTACAATACATTTGTCAGTCGCACACTTCAAACACCGACTAAAGCGCAAACATGGCCACCAAGACTTCCAACGGTGGGTCTGGGGCACAGGCACCACAAACACCCCAGGTCCAGCCTTGCAGATACAAGACGGGCAAGACTCTGGGTGCGGGCAGCTACTCAGTCGTCAAGGAGTGTGTGCACATCGATACAGGGCGATACTATGCCGCAAAGGTCATCAACAAGAGGCTTATGGCCGGCCGAGAACACATGGTGGGTTGAATAACTGTAGACTAGAGGGCGCATTCGCTGACACGTGCCAGGTCAGGAACGAGATCGCAGTATTGAAGAGAGTTTCCATGGGCCACAGGAATATCCTTACACTCGTCGACTACTTTGAGACGATGAACAACCGTTTGTTTCAACTCCCTCGGCGCTGTATCCTCTGCTAACACACAATCAGTCTATCTGGTCACCGACCTTGCGCTTGGAGGCGAGCTCTTCGACCGCATCTGTCGTAAGGGAAACTACTACGAATCCGACGCCGGCGACCTGATCAGGGCTACTCTCTCGGCAGTCGCATATCTCCACGACCACGGTATCGTGCACCGAGATTTGAAGCCGGAGAACTTGCTGTTCCGAACACCAGAGGACAATGCCGATTTGCTTATCGCCGATTTCGGACTTTCTCGTATCATGGACGAGGAGCAATTCCACGTCCTCACAACAACCTGCGGTACGCCAGGCTACATGGCGCCTGAGATTTTCAGGAAGACGGGTCATGGCAAGCCAGTGTAAGAACAAAACGGCTCTGTGAAAAATCCACTACTGACCAACTTATAGCGACATTTGGGCCATTGGTGTTATTACGTATTTTCTGCTTTGTGGCTATACTCCCTTCGACCGCGACTCGAACCTTGAAGAGATGCAAGCCATATTGGTTGCCGATTATTCTTTTACCCCTCTAGAATACTGGCGAGGCGTCTCACTCACGGCGCGCGAGTTCATTCGTCGATGCTTGACTGTGGATCCTGCAGCACGCATGACCGCTCATGAGGCTCTCTCCCATCCCTGGATCACGGAGCTTGGCAAGAACAATGCTGACGGCGAAGAGGATCTGTTGCCAACTGTCAAGAAGAACTTTAATGCTAGGCGCACACTTCACGCTGCTATTGACACGATCCGTGCTATCAATCAACTCCGAGCTGGTGGTGCTGCGGGTATGATGGACGGTCAGCGATCAGCGGAACCCCGACGAGGGGCGCCCCACGCGCGTATTCCCCAACCGGCAGATGAACCCGACGACCCGATGGAGATAGACAGCAGGGGAAATGGCCATGGCCAGACCGAAGAGATGATCCAGGAACAAGAGCGGAGAATTAGGGAGACTCAGCAGGGATTATGGGGAAAGCGCTGATATTTTAGTCATTGCTTTCAAGGTCGATTACCCTTTTATTTTTCGGTACAAAATGCAGAAGCGATTTCCATTTGATTTTTTCGATGCTGATGTTGTCTGGCTACACATCATGCTTGAATAGACGGCGACTTCAATTTAAGTTTGGTATGATATCGTATGAGCATATTACTTGATATAGCCTTGTATAGTCACGCGATACCGTACCAGCTTGGATCAAACCTTGATTGCCGTTATGTCAATCTTTTTTGTACTGTCTAAATGCTATCCCTACGTGACATTCCCAATATTATCACCAATTCCCGGGACCTGCAACCGCACTGCAGTCTTCGCTACAGCGGCGCTCGTTACCCAATGCTTCTCCCTGAAAAATATACCTTGCAATTGAAGAAAAAAGCGCCTGTAAAATCTAAGCAAAATTGTTATCCGTCTGCACTCCGTCTGTCCCATCCTGCGCCTCTTGACTCTGTCTCTCCCCATCCACAATAACACCCCCCGCCTTACGCCTACTCTCCACGAGCGCCTTGATCAACGCAACCGTAACCTCCCACCCCTCCTTCATCTTGTCCTCACTACTCGTCAAGTCGGGGACATGCAAAAAGACGACGGGCCGCTCATTATCCTTGATACTATAGTAATGCGCTAGACTATTATAATAGATAAATCCACACAAGAAATTCCCCGCATCAGTACTAATCCTTACATCTGGGACCTTTATGCTAGCAGTTTCAGAAGAAGAACAGGAGGGAGATGAAGATTTCAAGGACTCCTTCCAGCACGCGAGTACATCCTTGGTATCGAAACTCGTCGATAGCGTACTTGGGAACTTTGAAGCGGGAAATTGCTTTTCAGCGCTGTCGTCGTCGAAGCGCTGGCGATCTACATCGGCGATGTTACCGTAACCGCGGCTCCGTGAGCCTTGCTCGATGGCGTAGTAGTTGCGGCCTGCGGCGAGTCCAATGTGCAGGATTATATCTGGGGACGGGTACATGGGATTTCCTGGGGGGAGCAGATTGGGGACGAGATTGAGGACGGTGGCGTAGGCGACGCGGATGGGTTCGTGGTGGACATGGATGTGGATGGGGGTTTTGTTGGTGGGGGAAGAAGGGAGCAGGCTGGGGAGGGTGGAGGCGATTTCCCAGGAGGAGTTTTTGGGGAAGCGGGTTAGGAAGGGCTGGGGGGGTGGGTTAGTATTATGGGAGGAGTTTGGGGTTGAGGAAAGTGAAAGGTGGTCGCGTGATCATTTGGCTCAAGGTTGGTTGACGAGGAGATATGGGAGGCTGGAAGTACAGACTGAAACATACACCGAATCCAGTGACTAGCACTGTCACTGGCTTTTCGCCTTGCTCGCTGGGAGGCTGCGGTGCAGCATATGATGGTGCCATGGACGGATCGGAGTTTATCGGAGGTTGTGTTCGCAGCAGACGATCAACAGGAACTCGAGGCTACAGACTCGTACGTTAATACCCAACTTACAAGCCTAGCCGTTCCCGCCCGTTCCAAATGCCCAGACTACCCTCCTACGCGCCAACGCCTTTTGAACGGGATCCCCCTTGCAATGATGACAAGGTCTCTTCATCGAGATATTGGCGGGCAGCCGTTGTTGAGACCCCACCAAAAAATATTGGAAAGTTCAAAACTTACATGATCGTGGATATGTGTGTGTTTTATGTGGAGAAATCTTTACGAGTTTTGGAATTTCCAGCGGATTTAAAATAATAGTTCTTTGTGGCTATAATCTTTTACAGCAAGGGGCTTCGATGAGAGTAAGTTATCGATGTCGTGTCGTTGGCTGACGGACTATGCCGAATGCGTACAATGCTCATTTCAAGGTTGCCCCTACCGCGACACTGCAGATAATTGCTGGCACTAATATCATGTACTCACCGGACCTTGATGGTCGGACATAGACACTGATGTGAAGACTGACAGCTCAAAATCACTAAGACTACGTTCAACGCTGTTTGTGGTAGACTAGCTGTAGTTTTTTGCTGGTATTATGACGACACTTACTTATTGTCCCGCCATTGGGGCGCAATCAAGAGCGAACATCACAACAGCTTAATGCCGAAACGGAGCCGCCAGCCACCCCACATGGGCATGAATACCCATGGATCTTCACCCCGCATCGGAACGAGGCACCTCTGCCTCGGTGCTATCTGCTATGTTTTGGTGCCGCATAATGCGTTGTTGTCTACTGCAAGATCCACTCGTAGCCAACCACAATACAGACGTCTTTCCGATGCAATTGCCGGCGCTGCAGCAAACGACTAAATTAAGTTGACGTCCTTGATCTCACCCCCCTCTGTCGGCAATAGTACCGGTCCGAAAGGTTGCCGCACAAGGTGCTTGGACAACACTATGTTGAGCTTCTCTCCATCTACAATTGCTTATTTTCGGCCCGTGACTCAACCGTGAAAACGCTGGTGAAGGCAATTCCTCGACCTTGGCTTCATACATCTCGTGGCCATGGCATCTGCAGACTCGCCCTCGAAACCTTACTCCCTAGCTATAGTCGGCGGTGGCATATCTGGTCTCGCGCTCGCCATTACCCTCCTGGAACACAACGTGCCCCTCACTATATATGAAGCCGCATCGCACTTTGGGGAAATCGGCGCTGGCGTGGCGTTTGGGCCCAATGCAGGACGCGCCATGGAGCGCATGTCGACAAAGATCTTCCAGGCGTTTTTGAAATGCAAGACTGGGAATGCATATGAGTCCAAGACCAGTTCCTGGTTTACCGTTCGCGTGGGAGATGGCAGAAAGGCGGATAAAGATGGTCATGTGCGTGAGGGCAAGAAGGTAGGCGATCCGTTGTATGAAATATTTCTGCCCCCCGGTGGAGAACGAGGGGGTGTATACAGAGCTCACTTTCTGGACGAGTTGATCAAAGATATCCCGGACCATGTTGCGAAATTTGACAAGAGACTTGTCGACATGGAAGAGGCGGACGACGGGTCTGGCGATATGGTACTCAAGTTTGCCGATGGTTCCACAGCACAGCATACCGTCGTCATTGGGTGTGACGGCATCAAATCTCTGGTGAGAAAATGGGTCGTTGGAAGAGACAACCCTGCCTCCAAAGCCGTCTTTTCGGGAAAATATGCATACAGAGGATTGGTCCCCATGGACAAAGCAGTCGAGCTACTCGGCGATGAAGCCGCCAGAAACAGTCAAATGTTCCTAGGCTACCACGGCCATCTCCTCACATTCCCCATTTCACACGGCCAAATCATGAACGGTATTTTTACCCTTAGACCCCTTCCCTCAAATATACCCAATCCCCCTCGCTAATCCTCACAGTCGTCGCATTCAGCTCCCGCAAGACCTGGGACTCTGAAAAATGGGTCGTCACAACCTCCAAACAAGACATGGAAGCCGACTTTGCAGATTGGGGTCCGCACGTCCAAAAGATTATCGGAGCAATGCAAAACCCAGATATCTGGGCTTTGTTCATGCATCCGCCCTGCAAAACTTACACCAAAGGCCGCGTCTGTCTGCTCGGCGATGCCGCGCACGCAACGACCCCGCATCAGGGTGCCGGCGCGGGAATGTGCATGGAAGACGCGTATATACTCTCCGGTCTACTCAAAGATGCCAACAGCACGGAAGAGCTTACACGCGCGTTTAAGGCGTTTGATGAGGTGAGGAGGGGGAGGACGCAGAAGCTTGTTACGACTAGCTATGAAGCAGGACAGCTGTATGACTTTGAGTTGTTAGGGGACGATCTGGACAAGATTGAGGAGAACTTCTCGAAGCGGATGCACTGGATCTGGAATTTTGATTTGGAGGCGCATCTGGAGCAAGCACGAGAGATTATGAAGAAGTGAGGTTTTTTTTCCATAGGGTTTGTATTGAACTAAGCTAACGAGTGGAGGGGGGGGGGGGGGGGCGCTGAGTTGCGGTATCTTTGCAAAAAAAACTAATCTATGACATCGTCTCTCAACGAGAAGATTTGCTTGAGTACCTCGTCCGTCTTTGCGCCGATACCGTTGTGGTACATCATGTTTGTTATGAAGGGCTTGCAGCCTTTGATGGTACTGGCCGTCTCCATACTCAAGTTGAAGTCTACGTACATATCATCCATGTACACAGCCGCAAATGTCGGCACTTCGTTCTTCTTCAGTTGCTCCACATCGTATAGCTTTGGCCAGTCCTTTTCTGCGGCCAGCAGCTCCCCTACTTTCTTGAGCTTCTTGAGCTCAGGGTAGCAGTCGAACATGAAGGGATAAATCATCTCGCCAGTAAAGTAGATGGGATCTTCCGAGTTAACGCGAGAGAGAGAGAATTCGGGGTGTTGTTCGAGCTGGCGTTCAGCAGACCAATTCGCAGCTTGACCTTGGCAGTAGATGGGCTCGTGGAGCAGAGCGTAAATGACGTTCGTGTCCCAGCTCTGTGCTGCTTCGAGCGCAAGCACAGTCGGACGCGTCAAGTGGCCAAATTGAGTGAGATCCGTATCCGCACGGAGAACAAAATTGTGTACATCGTCGAAGCCGCCGTGTTTGCCGAAATAGATACCCAGCTGGAGAAAACGGCGTGCAGAGAGGTGACCCTCGCCGCCTTGGACACGCACTGTGGTATCGCCGAAGCGGGAAAGCAGCTTGACGATGCGTTTGACTCTCTCCACATCCTCTGGGTATTTCTGATAGTAGCCTTCGTTTCTGCTCTTGACACGTGCATACAGCCGCTCGTAAACTTCGTCTGCATTGTCTCTCAATGGTGGCAGACCCCCAAACAAGAAAGCCTCTTTGACGCCTTCAGGGTAGAATGAGAGATACGTCGTGCAGCAGAATCCGCCAAAGCTCTGGCCCATGATGCTCCATTTCTTCTTCTCTTCGGGATAATCGGCTGTCAATGCTTTTCTCACAGCCTCACAGTCCTTGACAATGCTGTCTGCTCGGAAGCTCTTCATATAATCTGCCTGCACTTTCTCGTTGCCCCTTAGCTGCAGACTCGACTGGCTAATGGCAGTTGATAGGCCTGTCCCGCGCTGGTCGAGCAGC